GTTATGGAAAGAGGGAGAATGGGGCGGGGTGATGGAAAGAGGGAGAAATGGGCTGGGTGATGGAAAGAGGGAGAAATGGGCTGGGTGAGGGAAAGAGGGAGAATGGGGCGGGGTGATGGGAAACGAGAGAATGGGGCGGGGTGATGGAAAGCGGGAGAATGGGCCGGGGTGATGGAAAGAGGGAAAATGGGGCGGGGCGACGGAAAGCGGGAGAATGGGGCGGGGCGATGGAAAGAGGGAGAATGAGGCGGGGTGATGGAAAGCGGGAGAATGGGGCGGGGTGATGGAAAGCGGGAGAATGGGGCGGGGTGATGGAAAGAGGGAGAATGGGGCGGGGCGATGGGAAGAGGCAGAATGGGGCGGGGTGATGGAAAGAGGGAGAATGGGGCGGGGTGATGGAAAGCGGGAGATTGGGGCGGGGCGATGGAAAGCGGGAGAATGGGGCGGGGCGATGGAAAGTGGGAGAATGGGGCGGGGTGATTGAAAGCAGGAGAATGGGGCGGGGTGATGGAAAGCGGGAGAATGGGGTGGGGTGATTGAAAACGGGAGAATGGGGCAGGGTGATTGAAAGCGGGAGAATGGGGCGGGGTGATGGAAAGCGGGAGAATGGGGCGGGGTGATGGGAAGCGGGAAAATGGGGCGGTGTGATGGAAAGCGGGAGAATGGGGCTGGGTGATGGAAAGAGGGAGAATGGGGCGGGGCGAGGGAAAGCGGGAGAATGAGGCGGGGTGATGGAAAGCGGGAGAATGGGGTGGGGTGATGGAGGCGGGAATGGGGCGGGGTGATGGAAAGCGGGAGAATGGGGCTGGGTGATGGAAAGAGGGAAAATGGGGCGGGGCGACTGAAAGCGGGAGAATGGGGCGGGGCGATGGAAAGAGGGAGAATGAGGCGGGGTGATGCAAAGCGGGAGAATGGGGCGGGGTGATGGAAAGAGGGAGAATGGGGCGGGGCGATGGGAAGAGGCAGAATGGGGCGGGGTGATGGAAAGAGGGAGAATGGGGCAGGGTGATGGAAAGCGGGAGATTGGGGCGGGGCGATGGAAAGCGGGAGAATGGGGCGGGGCGATGGAAAGCAGGAGAATGGGGCGGGATGATTGAAAGCGGGAGAATGGGGCGGGTTGATGGAAAGCGGGAGAATGGGGCGGGATGATTGAAAGCGGGAGAATGGGGCGGGTTGATGGAAAGCGGGAGAATGGGGCGGGGTGATTGAAAACGGGAGAATGGGGCGGGGTGATTGAAAGCGGGAGAATGGGGCGGGGTGATGGAAAGCGGGAGAATGGGGCGGGGTGATGGGAAGCGGGAAAATGGGGCGGTGTGATGGAAAGCGGAAGAATGATGCGGGGTGATGGAATGCGGCAGAATGGGGCGGGGTGATGGAAATCGGGAGAATGGGGCGGGTGATGGAAAGCGGGAGAACGGGGCGGGGCGATGGAAAGCGGGAGAACGAGGCGGGGCGATTGAAAGAGGGAGAATGGGGCAGGGTGACGGAAAGCTGGAGAATGGGGCGGGGCGATGGAAAAAGGAAGAATGGGGCGGGGCGATGGAAAGAGGGAGAATGGGGCGGGGCGATGGAAAGAGGGAGAATGGGGCGGGGCGATAGAAGGAGGGAGAATGGGGCAGGGTGATGGAAAGAGGGAGAATGGGGCGGGGTGATGGAAAGCGGGAGAATGGGGCGGGACGATGGAAAGCGGGAGAATGGGGCGGGGCGATGGAAAGCGGGAGAATGGGGCGGGGTGATGGAAATCGGGAGAATGGGGCGGGGTGATGGTTAGAGGGAGAATGGGGCGGGGTGATGGAAAGCGGAAGAATATGGCGGGGCGATGGAAAGCGGGAGAATGGGGCGAGGTGATGGAAAGAGGGAGAATGGGGCGGGGTTATGGAAAGAGGGAGAATGGGGCGGGGTGATGGAAAGAGGGAGAAATGGGCTGGGTGATGGAAAGAGGGAGAAATGGGCTGGGTGAGGGAAAGAGGGAGAATGGGGCGGGGTGATGGGAAACGAGAGAATGGGGCGGGGTGATGGAAAGCGGGAGAATGGGCCGGGGTGATGGAAAGCAGGAAAATGGGGCGGGTGATGGAAGGAGGGAGAATGGGGCGGGGTGATGGAAAGAGGGAGAATGGGGCGGCCTGATGGAAAGCGGGAGAATGGGGCTGGGTGATGGAATGAGGGAGAATGGGGCGGGGTGATGCAAAGAGGGAGAATGGGGCGGGGTGATGGAAAGCGGGAGATCGCGGCGGGGTGATGGAAAACGGGAGAACGGGGCGGGGTGATGGAAAGCGGGAGAACAGGGCGGGGTGATGGAAAGTGGGAGAACGGGTCGGGGTGATGGAAAGCGGGAGAACGGGTCGGGTGATGGAAAGCGGGAGAACGGGGCGGGGTGATGGAAAGCGGGAGAACGGGGCGGGGTGATGGAAAGGGGGAGAATGGGGCGGGGTGATGGAAAGCGGGAGAATGGGGCGGGGTGATGGAAAGAGGGAAAATAGGGCGGGGTGATGGAAACAGGGAGAATGAGGCGGGGTGATGGAAAGAGGGAGACGTGGGCTGGGTGATAAATGGAAAGAGGGAGAATAGGGCGGGGTGATGGAAAGATGGAGAATGGGACCGGGTGATGGAAAGCGGGAGAATGGGGCAGGGTGATGGAAAGCAAGAGAATAGGGCGGGGTGATGGAAAGCGGGAAAATGGGGCGGGGTGATGGAAAGCGGGAGAACGGGGCGGGGTGATGGAAAGAGGGAGAATGGGGCGGGGTGATGGAAAGAGGGAGAATGGGGCGGAGTGATGGCAAGCGGGAGAATGGTGCGGGGTGATGGATGGGGCGGTGTGATGGAAAGAGGGACAGGGCGGAGTGATGGAAAGCAGGAGAATGGGGCAAGGTGATGGAATGAGGGAGAATGGGGCGGGGAGATGGAAAGCGGGAGAATGGGGCAGGGTGGAAAGAGGGAGAATGGGGTTGGGTGATGGAAAGAGGGAGAATGAGGCTGGGTGATAAAAAACGGGAGAATGGGGCAGGGTGATGGAAAGCGGGAGAATGGGGCGGGGTGATGGAAAGCGGGAGAATGGGGCTGGGTGATGGAAAGAGGGAGAATGGGGCAGGGTGATGGTATCATGTAAAGGAAAAGCGAAACATATGTGGCATTCACTCTACTTATACAGAGAAAATGATGCGTGAGCCGGTTCGGGTCGTATGCGCGCTTTTAAATCTTGCAAATTTTGTGGATCTAAAAGGTTAGAACCTAGTGTTGTTAAAGTAGATGGCCTAATCTAGTTGACTGACAAGAAAATGGTACTAACAACATCTCTACAAACATACGTATTGTGCTGGTCAAGTTTGTCAGAACTAGCAGTAGAAAGTAAGAATGAAGAAAGGAGGATGTTCACTAGCAAGCAGTTGGACACATATAGCAAACCCTAATTGGGCTGTACTCACTATGGAGTACCCCACTGCAGGCTAGACAATTATAACATTCTGACACACCCCCATAGCCAAAGTGGGGTGTAATCAGCACAACAAGCAAGCATAGTAATAGTTCACAATTATAAGCAAAGCTAGAGGTAATCACAGCGGGCAAGTGAGGAGGAGGAGGGACTGTGAGAGGAGAGAAGATGAGAGACGGCGGCTGAAGCTGCAGACACACGGGCAACAGGAGCTGCTGGCACAGTGGCTACCGGGACAGTGCGCCCCGGACTACTGGAGTAACTGGCTCACTATGCACGGTTGTGTGCAGGTACAAGGCGGAGCTGGAGCTCTGAAATATCTTAAACTGTGTGGATCTAAAAGGTTAGAACCTAGTGTTGTTAAAGTAGATGGCCCAATCTAGTGGATCGACAAGAAAATGGTACTAGCCGTATCTCTACAAACATACCTAATGCGCTGGTCAAGTTGGTCGGTATGCGCGCATGTAGTGCAGGTACCACGCACGACTAAAATGCCTATTTTTGGCGAATTACATAGATCCAAAAGGTTAGAACCTTGTAGAGGGGTGGGAAATGGTATGATGTAAAGAAAAGGCGAAACATATGTGGCATTCACTGTACTTCTACAAAGAAAATGATGCGTGAGCCGGTTCGGGTAGTATGCACGCTTGTGTGCAGGTTCAAGGCGGAGGTGGAGCTCTGAGATCTTGCAAATTATGTGGATCTAAAAGCTTAGAACCTGCGCCCCACAAACGTCTCCCCCCTAAACGTCTCCCCTTCACACGCACCTTCTCACAACCTGCGCCCCACAAACGTCTCTCCCCTAAACGTCTCCCATTCACACGCACCTTCTCCCAACCTGCGCCCCAGAAACATCACCCCCCTAAACGTCTCCATTTCACACGCACCTTCTCCCAACCTGCGCCCCACAAACGTCTCCCCCCTAAACGTCTCCCCTTCACATGCACCTTCTCCCTACCTGCGACCCACAAACGTCTCCCCCTAAAACGTCTCCCCTTCACACGCACCTTCTCCCAACCTGCGAGCCACAAACGTCTCCCCCAGAAACGTCTCCCCTTCACACACACCTTCTCCCAACCTGCGCCCCACAAACGTCTCCCCCCTAAACGTCTCCCCTTCACACGCACCTTCTCCCAACTTGCGCCCCACAAACGTCTCCCCTTCACACGCACCTTCTCCGAACCTGCGCCCCACAAACGTCTCCCCCCTAAACGTCTCCCCTTCACACGCACCTTCTCCGAACCTGGGCCCCACAAACGTCTCCCCCCTTAACGTCTCCCCTTCACACGAACCTTCTCCGAACCTGCACCCCACAAACGTCTCCCCCCTAAACGTCTCCCCTTCACACGCACCTTGTCCGAACCTGCGCCCCACAAATGTCTCCCCCCTAAACGTCTCCCCTTCACACGCACCTTCTCCGAACCTGCGCCCCACAAACGTCTCCCCCCTAAACGTCTCCCCTTCATATGAACCTTCTCCCAACCTGCGTCCCACGCACCTTCTCCGAACCTGCGCCCCACAAACGTCTTCCCCCCTAAACGTCTCCCCTTCACACGCACCTTCTCCTAACCTGCGCTCCACAAACGTCTCCCCCCTAAACGTCTCCCCTTCACACACACCTTCTCCCAACCTGCGCCCTACAAACGTCTCCCCCCTGAACGTCTCCCCTTCACACGCACCTTCTCCCAACCTGCGCCCCACAAACATCTCCCCCCTAAACGTCTCCCCTTGACACACACCTTCTCCCATCCTGCGCCCTACAAACGTCTCCCCACTAAACGTCTCCCCTTCACACGCACCTTCTCCCAACCTGCGCCCCATAAAAGTCTCCCCCCTAAACGTCTCCCCTTCCTACGCACCTTCTCCCAACCTGCGCCCCACAAACGTCTCCCCCCTAAACGTCTCCCCTTCACACGCACCTTCTCCCTACCTGCGACCCACAAACGTCTCCCCCCTAAACGTCTCCCCTTCACACGAACCGTCTCCCAACCTGCGCCCCACGCACCTTCTCCGAACCTGCGCCCCACAAACGTCTTCCCCCCTAAACGTCTCCCCTTGACACGCACCTTCTTCCAACCTGCGCGCCACAAACGTCTCCCCCCTAAACGTCTCCCCTTCACACACACCTTCTCCCAACCTGCGCCCCACAAACGTCTCCCCCCTAAACGTCTCCCCTTCACACGCACCTTCTCCCAACTTGCGCCCCACAAATGTCTCCCCTTCACACGCACCTTCTCCGAACCTGCGCCCCACAAACGTTTCCCCCCTAAACGTCTCCCCTTCATATGAACCATCTCCCAACCTGCGCCCCACGCACCTTCTCCGAACCTGCGCCCCACAAACGTCTTCCCCCCTAAACGTCTCCCCTTCACACGCACCTTCTCCCAACCTGCGCTCCACAAACGTCTCCCCCCTAAACGTCTCCCCTTCACACACACCTTCTCCCAACCTGCGCCCTACAAATGTCTCCCCCCTGAACGTCTCCCCTTCACACGCACCTTCTCCCAACCTGCGCCCCACAAACGTCTCCCCCCTAAACGTCTCCCCTTCACACACACCTTCTCCCATCCTGCGCCCTACAAACGTCTCCCCACTAAACGTCTCCCCTTCACACGCACCTTCTCCCAACCTGCGCCCCATAAACGTCTCCCCCCTAAACGTCTCCCCTTCCTACGCACCTTCTCCAAACCTGCGCCCCACAAACGTCTCCCCCCTAAACGTCTCCCCTTCACACGAACCTTCGCCCAACCTGCGCCCCACAAACGTCTCCCCCCTAAACGTCTCCCCTTCACACGCACCTTCTCCGAACCTGCGCCCCACAAACGTCTCCCCCCTAAACGTCTCCCCTTCACACGCACCTTCTCCGAACCTGCACCCCACAAACGTCTCCCCCCTAAACGTCTCCCCTTCACACGCACCTTCTCCGAACCTGCGCCCCACAAACGTCTCCCCCCTAAACGTCTCCCCTTCACACGCACCTTCTCCGAACCTGCGCCCCACAAACGTCTCCCCCCTAAACGTCTCCCCTTCACACGCACCTTCTCCGAACCTGCGCCCCACAAACGTCTCCCCCCTAAACGTCTCCCCTTCACACGCACCTTCTCCGAACCTGCGCCCCACAAACGTCTCCCCCCTAAACATCTCCCCTTCACACGCACCTTCTCCGAACCTGCGCCCCACAAACGTCTCCCCCCTAAACGTCTCCCCTTCACACGAACCTTCTCCAAACCTGCGCCCCACGCACCTTCTTCGAACCTGCGCCCCACAAACGTCTTCCCCCCTAAACGTCTCCCCTTCACACGCACCTTCTTCCAAACTGCGCCCCACAAACGGCTCCCCCCTAAACGTCTCCCCTTCACATGCACCTTCTCCCAACCTGCGCCCTACAAACGTCTCCCCCCTGAACGTCTCCCCTTGACACGCACCTTCTCCCAACCAGCGTATTACAAACGTCTCCCCACTAAACGTCTCCCCTTCACACGCACCTTCTCCCAACCTGCGACCCCCAAACGTCTCCCCCCTAAACGTCTCCCTTTCACACGCACCTTCTCCCAACCTGCGCCCCAGAAACGTCTCCTCCTTAAACGTCTTCCCTTCACACGCACCTTCTCCCAACCTGCGCCCCCCAAACGTCTCCCCCCTAAACGTCTCCCCTTCACACGCACCTTCTCCGCATCTGCGCCCCACAAACGTCCCCCCCCCCCCTAAACGTCTCCCCTTCACACGCACCTTCTCCGAACCTGCGCCCCCCAAACGTCTCCACCCTAAACGTCTCCCCTTCACACGCATCTTCTCCAAACCTGCGCCCCACAAACGTCTCCCCCCTAAACGTCTCCCTTTCACACGCACCTTCTCCCAACCTGCGCCCCACAAAAGTCTCCCCCCTAAACGACTCCCCTTCACATACATCTTCTCCCAACTTGCGCCCCACAAACGTCTCCCCCCTAATCGTCTCCCCTTCACACGCACCTTCTCCGCACCTGCGCCCCATAAACGTCTCCCCCCTAAACTTCTCCCCTTCATACGCACCTTCTCCCAACCTGCGCCCCACAAACGTCTCCCCCCTAAACGTCTCCCCTTCACACGCACCTTCTCCCTATCTGCGACCCACAAACGTCTCCCCCCTAAACTTCTGCCCTTCACACGCACCTTCTCCCAACCTGCGCGCCACAAACGTCTCCCCCCTAAACGTCTCCTCTTCACACGGACCTTCTCCCAACCTGCGCCCCACAAACGTCTCCCCCCTAAACGTCTACCGTTCACACGCACCTTCTCCCAACCTGCGCCCCACAAACGTCTCCCCCCTAAACATCTCCCCTTCACACGCACCTTCTCCGAACCTGCGCCCCACAAACCTCTCCCCCCTAAACGTCTCCCCTTCACACGCACCTTCTCCGAACCTGCACCCCACAAACGTCTCCCCCCTAAACGTCTCCCCTTCACACACACCTTCTCCCAACCTGCGCCCTACAAACGTCTCCCCCTTAACATCTCCCCTTCACACGCACCTTCTCCCAACCTGCGCCCCACAAACGTCTCCCCCCTAAACGTCTCCCCTTCACACGCACCTTCTCCCAACCTGCGACCCCCAAACGTCTCCCCCCTAAACGTCTCCCCTTCACACGCATTTTCTCCGCACCTGCGCCCCATAAACGTCTCCCCCCTAAACGTCTCCCCTTCACACGCACCTTCTCCCAACCTGCGCCCCACAAACGTCTCCCCCCTAAACATCTCCCCTTCACACGCACCTTCTCCTTACCTGCAACACACAAACGTCTCCCCCCTAAACGTCTCCTCTTCACACGCACCTTCTCCCAACCTGCGCCCCACAAACGCGTCCCCCTAAACGTCTCCCGTTCACACGCACCTTCTCCCAACTTGTGCCCCACAAACGTCTCCCCTTCACACGCACCTTCTCCCAACCTGCGCCCCACAAACGTCTCCCCCCTAAACACCTCCCCTTCACACGCACCTTCTCCGAACCTGCGCCCCAAAAACCTCTCCCCCCTAAACGTCTCCCCTTCACACGCACCTTCTCCGAACCTGCACCCCACAAACGTGTCCCCCCTAAACGTCTCCCCTTCACACGCACCTTCTCCCTACCTGCAACCCACAAACGTCTCCCCCCTAAACGTCTCCTCTTCACACACACCTTCTCCCAACCTGCGCCCCACAAACGTGTCCCCCTAAACGTCTCCCGTTCACACGCTCCTTCTCCCAACTTGTGCCCCACAAACGTCTCCCCTTCACACGCACCTTCTCCCAACCTGCGCCCCACACACGTCTCCCCCCTAAACATCTCCCCTTCACACGCACCTTCTCCGAACCTGCGCCCCAAAAACCTCTCCCCCCTGAACGTCTCCCATTCACACGCACCTTCTCCCAACCTGCGCCCCACAAACATCACCCCCCTAAATGTCTCCCCTTCACACGCACCTTCTCCCAACATGCGCCCCCCAAACGTCTCCCCCCTAAACGTCTCCCCTTCACACGCACCTTCTCCCAACCTGCGCCCCCCAAACGCCCCCCCCCCTAAACGTCTCCCCTTCACACGCTCCTTCTCCCAACCTTCGCCCCAGAAACGTCTCCCCCCTAAACGTCTCCCCTTCACACGCACCTTCTCCCAACCTGCGCCCCACAAACGTCTACCCCTAAACGTCTCCCCTTCACACGCACCTTCTCCTAACCTGCGCCCCACACATGTCTCCCCCCTAAACGTCTCCCCTTCACACGCACCTTCTCTCAACATGCGCCCCCCAAACGTCTCCCCCTAAACGTCTCCCCTTCACACGCACCTTCTCCCAACCTGCGCCCCCCAAACGCCCCCCCCCTAAACGTCTCCCCTTCACACGCACCTTCTCCCAACCTGCGCCCCACAAACGTCTCCCCCCTAAACGTCTCCCCTTCACACGCACCTTCTCCGAACCTCTGCGCCACAAATGTCTCCCCCCTAAACGTCTCCCCTTCACACGCACCTTCTCCGAACCTGCGCGCCACAAACGTCTCCCCCCTAAACGTCTCCCCTTCACACGCACCTTCTCCGAACCTGCGCGCCATCTTCTCCCAACCTGCACCCCACAAACGTCTCCCCCCTAAACGTCTCCCCTTCACACACACCTTCTCCCAACCTGCGCACGTCTCACCCCTAAACGTCTCCCCTTCACACACAACTTCTCCCAACCTGCGCCCCATAAACGTCTCCCCTTCACACGCACCTTCTCCCAACCTGCGCCCCACAAACGTCTCCCCCCTAAACGTCTCACCTTCACACGCACCTTCTCCCTACCTGCGACCCACAAACGTCTCCTCCCTAAGCGTCTCCCCTTCACACGCACCTTCTCCCAACCTGCGCGCCACAAACGTCTCCCCCATAAACGTCTCCCCTTCACACACACATTCTCCCAACCTGCGCCCCACAAACGTCTCCCCCCTAAACGTCTCCCCTTCACACGCACCTTCTCCCAACCTGCGACCCCCAAACGTCTCCCCCCTAAACGTCTCCCCTTCACACGCATTTTCTCCGCACCTGCGCCCCATAAACGTCTCCCCCCTAAACGTCTCCCCTTCACACGCACCTTCTCCCAACCTGCGCCCCACAAACGTCTCCCCCCTAAACATCTCCCCTTCACACGCACCTTCTCCTTACCTGCAACACACAAACGTCTCCCCCCTAAACGTCTCCTCTTCACACGCACCTTCTCCCAACCTGCGCCCCACAAACGCGTCCCCCTAAACGTCTCCCGTTCACACGCACCTTCTCCCAACTTGTGCCCCACAAACGTCTCCCCTTCACACGCACCTTCTCCCAACCTGCGCCCCACAAACGTCTCCCCCCTAAACACCTCCCCTTCACACGCACCTTCTCCGAACCTGCGCCCCAAAAACCTCTCCCCCCTAAACGTCTCCCCTTCACACGCACCTTCTCCGAACCTGCACCCCACAAACGTGTCCCCCCTAAACGTCTCCCCTTCACACGCACCTTCTCCCTACCTGCAACCCACAAACGTCTCCCCCCTAAACATCTCCCCTTCACACGCACCTTCTCCGAACCTGCGCCCCACAAACCTCTCCCCCCTAAACGTCTCCCCTTCACACGCACCTTCTCCGAACCTGCACCCCACAAACGTCTCCCCCCTAAACGTCTCCCCTTCACACACACCTTCTCCCAACCTGCGCCCTACAAACGTCTCCCCCTTAACATCTCCCCTTCACACGCACCTTCTCCCAACCTGCGCCCCACAAACGTCTCCCCCCTAAACGTCTCCCCTTCACACGCACCTTCTCCCAACCTGCGACCCCCAAACGTCTCCCCCCTAAACGTCTCCCCTTCACACGCATTTTCTCCGCACCTGCGCCCCATAAACGTCTCCCCCCTAAACGTCTCCCCTTCACACGCACCTTCTCCCAACCTGCGCCCCACAAACGTCTCCCCCCTAAACATCTCCCCTTCACACGCACCTTCTCCTTACCTGCAACACACAAACGTCTCCCCCCTAAACGCCTCCTCTTCACACGCACCTTCTCCCAACCTGCGCCCCACAAACGCGTCCCCCTAAACGTCTCCCGTTCACACGCACCTTCTCCCAACTTGTGCCCCACAAACGTCTCCCCTTCACACGCACCTTCTCCCAACCTGCGCCCCACAAACGTCTCCCCCCTAAACACCTCCCCTTCACACGCACCTTCTCCGAACCTGCGCCCCAAAAACCTCTCCCCCCTAAACGTCTCCCCTTCACACGCACCTTCTCCGAACCTGCACCCCACAAACGTGTCCCCCCTAAACGTCTCCCCTTCACACGCACCTTCTCCCTACCTGCAACCCACAAACGTCTCCCCCCTAAACGTCTCCTCTTCACACACACCTTCTCCCAACCTGCGCCCCACAAACGTGTCCCCCTAAACGTCTCCCGTTCACACGCTCCTTCTCCCAACTTGTGCCCCACAAACGTCTCCCCTTCACACGCACCTTCTCCCAACCTGCGCCCCACACACGTCTCCCCCCTAAACATCTCCCCTTCACACGCACCTTCTCCGAACCTGCGCCCCAAAAACCTCTCCCCCCTGAACGTCTCCCATTCACACGCACCTTCTCCCAACCTGCGCCCCACAAACATCACCCCCCTAAACGTCTCCCCTTCACACGCACCTTCTCCCAACATGCGCCCCCCAAACGTCTCCCCCCTAAACGTCTCCCCTTCACACGCACCTTCTCCCAACCTGCGCCCCCCAAACGCCCCCCCCCCTAAACGTCTCCCCTTCACACGCTCCTTCTCCCAACCTTCGCCCCAGAAACGTCTCCCCCCTAAACGTCTCCCCTTCACACGCACCTTCTCCCAACCTGCGCCCCACAAACGTCTACCCCTAAACGTCTCCCCTTCACACGCACCTTCTCCTAACCTGCGCCCCACACATGTCTCCCCCCTAAACGTCTCCCCTTCACACGCACCTTCTCTCAACATGCGCCCCCCAAACGTCTCCCCCCTAAACGTCTCCCCTTCACACGCACCTTCTCCCAACCTGCGCCCCCCAAACGCCCCCCCCCTAAACGTCTCCCCTTCACACGCACCTTCTCCCAACCTGCGCCCCACAAACGTCTCCCCCCTAAACGTCTCCCCTTCACACGCACCTTCTCCGAACCTCTGCGCCACAAATGTCTCCCCCCTAAACGTCTCCCCTTCACACGCACCTTCTCCAAACCTGCGCGCCACAAACGTCTCCCCCCTAAACGTCTCCCCTTCACACGCACCTTCTCCGAACCTGCGCGCCATCTTCTCCCAACCTGCACCCCACAAACGTCTCCCCCCTAAACGTCTCCCCTTCACACACACCTTCTCCCAACCTGCGCACGTCTCACCCCTAAACGTCTCCCCTTCACACACAACTTCTCCCAACCTGCGCCCCATAAACGTCTCCCCTTCACACGCACCTTCTCCCAACCTGCGCCCCACAAACGTCTCCCCCCTAAACGTCTCACCTTCACACGCACCTTCTCCCTACCTGCGACCCACAAACGTCTCCTCCCTAAGCGTCTCCCCTTCACACGCACCTTCTCCCAACCTGCGCGCCACAAACGTCTCCCCCATAAACGTCTCCCCTTCACACACACATTCTCCCAACCTGCGCCCCACAAACGTCTCCCCCCTAAACGTCTCCCCTTCACACGCACCTTCTCCCAACCTGCGACCCCCAAACGTCTCCCCCCTAAACGTCTCCCCTTCACACGCATTTTCTCCGCACCTGCGCCCCATAAACGTCTCCCCCCTAAACGTCTCCCCTTCACACGCACCTTCTCCCAACCTGCGCCCCACAAACGTCTCCCCCCTAAACATCTCCCCTTCACACGCACCTTCTCCTTACCTGCAACACACAAACGTCTCCCCCCTAAACGTCTCCTCTTCACACGCACCTTCTCCCAACCTGCGCCCCACAAACGCGTCCCCCTAAACGTCTCCCGTTCACACGCACCTTCTCCCAACTTGTGCCCCACAAACGTCTCCCCTTCACACGCACCTTCTCCCAACCTGCGCCCCACAAACGTCTCCCCCCTAAACACCTCCCCTTCACACGCACCTTCTCCGAACCTGCGCCCCAAAAACCTCTCCCCCCTAAACGTCTCCCCTTCACACGCACCTTCTCCGAACCTGCACCCCACAAACGTGTCCCCCCTAAACGTCTCCCCTTCACACGCACCTTCTCCCTACCTGCAACCCACAAACGTCTCCCCCCTAAACGTCTCCTCTTCACACACACCTTCTCCCAACCTGCGCCCCACAAACGTGTCCCCCTAAACGTCTCCCGTTCACACGCTCCTTCTCCCAACTTGTGCCCCACAAACGTCTCCCCTTCACCCGCACCTTCTCCCAACCTGCGCCCCACACACGTCTCCCCCCTAAACATCTCCCCTTCACACGCACCTTCTCCGAACCTGCGCCCCAAAAACCTCTCCCCCCTGAACGTCTCCCATTCACACGCACCTTCTCCCAACCTGCGCCCCACAAACATCACCCCCCTAAACGTCTCCCCTTCACACGCACCTTCTCCCAACATGCGCCCCCCAAACGTCTCCCCCCTAAACGTCTCCCCTTCACACGCACCTTCTCCCAACCTGCGCCCCCCAAACGCCCCCCCCCCTAAACGTCTCCCCTTCACACGCTCCTTCTCCCAACCTTCGCCCCAGAAACGTCTCCCCCCTAAACGTCTCCCCTTCACACGCACCTTCTCCCAACCTGCGCCCCACAAACGTCTACCCCTAAACGTCTCCCCTTCACACGCACCTTCTCCTAACCTGCGCCCCACACATGTCTCCCCCCTAAACGTCTCCCCTTCACACGCACCTTCTCTCAACATGCGCCCCCCAAACGTCTCCCCCCTAAACGTCTCCCCTTCACACGCACCTTCTCCCAACCTGCGCCCCCCAAACGCCCCCCCCCTAAACGTCTCCCCTTCACACGCACCTTCTCCCAACCTGCGCCCCACAAACGTCTCCCCCCTAAACGTCTCCCCTTCACACGCACCTTCTCCGAACCTCTGCGCCACAAATGTCTCCCCCCTAAACGTCTCCCCTTCACACGCACCTTCTCCGAACCTGCGCGCCACAAACGTCTCCCCCCTAAACGTCTCCCCTTCACACGCACCTTCTCCGAACCTGCGCGCCATCTTCTCCCAACCTGCACCCCACAAACGTCTCCCCCCTAAATGTCTCCCCTTCACACACACCTTCTCCCAACCTGCGCACGTCTCACCCCTAAACGTCTCCCCTTCACACACAACTTCTCCCAACCTGCGCCCCATAAACGTCTCCCCTTCACACGCACCTTCTCCCAACCTGCGCCCCACAAACGTCTCCCCCCTAAACGTCTCACCTTCACACGCACCTTCTCCCTACCTGCGACCCACAAACGTCTCCTCCCTAAGCGTCTCCCCTTCACACGCACCTTCTCCCAACCTGCGCGCCACAAACGTCTCCCCCATAAACGTCTCCCCTTCACACACACATTCTCCCAACCTGCGCCCCACAAACGTCTCCCCCCTAAACGTCTCCCCTTCACACGCACCTTCTCCCAACTTGCGCCCCACAAACGTCTCCCCTTCACACGCACCTTCTCCGAACCTGCGCCCCACAAACGTCTCCCCCCTAAACGTCTCCCCTTCACACGCACCTTCTCCGAACCTGGGCCCCACAAACGTCTCCCCCCTAAATGTCTCCCCTTCACACGCACCTTGTCCGAACCTGCGCCCCACAAATGTCTCCCCCCTAAACGTCTCCCCTTCACACGCACCTTCTCCGAACCTGCGCCCCACAAACGTCTCCCCCCTAAACGTCTCCCCTTCATATGAACCTTCTCCCAACCTGCGCCCCACGCACCTTCTCCGAACCTGCGCCCCACAAACGTCTTCCCCCCTAAACGTCTCCCCTTCACACGCACCTTCTCCCAACATGCGCCCCCAAACGTCTCCCCCCTAAACGTCTCCCCTTCACACGCACCTTCTCCCAACCTGCGCCCCACACACGTCTCCCCCCTAAACGTCTCCCCTTCACACGCACCTTCTCCCAACATGCGCCCCCCAAACGTCTCCCCCCTAAACATCTCCCCTTCACACGCACCTTCTCCCAACCTGCGCCCCCCAAACGCCCCCCCCCCTAAACGTCTCCCCTTCACACGCTCCTTCTCCCAACCTTCGCCCCAGAAACGTCTCCCCCCTAAACGTCTCCCCTTCACACGCACCTTCTCCCAACCTGCGCCCCACAAACGTCTACCCCTAAACGTCTCCCCTTCACACGCACCTTCTCCTAACCTGCGCCCCACACATGTCTCCCCCCTAAACGTCTCCCCTTCACACGCACCTTCTCCCAACATGCGCCCCCCAAACGTCTCCCCCCTAAACGTCTCCCCTTCACACGCACCTTCTCCCAACCTGCGCCCCCCAAACGCCCCCCCCCTAAACGTCTCCCCTTCACACGCACCTTCTCCCAACCTGCGCCCCACAAACGTCTCCCCCCTAAACGTCTCCCCTTCACACGCACCTTCTCCAAACCTCTGCGCCTCAAATGTCTCCCCCCTAAACGTCTCCCCTTCACACGCACCTTCTCCGAACCTGCGCGCCACAAACGTCTCCCCCCTAAACGTCTCCCCTTCACACGCACCTTCTCCCAACCAGCGTCTCACAAACGTCTCCCCCCTAAACGTCTCCCTTTCACACGCACCTTCTCCCAACCTGCGCCCCAGAAACGTCTCCTCCTTAAACGTCTCCCCTTCACACGCACCTTCTCCCAACCTGCGCCCCCCAAACGTCTCCCCCCTAAACGTCTCCCCTTCACACGCACCTTCTCCGCACCTGCGCCCCACAAACGTCCCCCCCCCCCTAAACGTCTCCCCTTCACACGCACCTTCTCCGAACCTGCGCCCCCCAAACGTCTCCGCCCTAAACGTCTCCCCTTCACACGCATCTTCTCCAAACCTGCGCCCCACAAACGTCTCCCCCCTAAACGTCTCCCCTTCACACGCTCCTTCTCACAACCTGCGCCCCACAAACGTCTCCCCCCTAAACGTCTCCCATTCACACGCACCTTCTCCCAACCTGCGCCCCAGAAAACATCACCCTCCTAAACGTCTCCCTTTCACACGCACCTTCTCCCAACCTGCGCCCCACAAACGTCTCCCCCCTAAACGTCTCCCCTTCACATGCACCTTCTCCCTACCTGCGACCCACAAACGTCTCCCCCTAAAACGTCTCCCCTTCACACGCACCTTCTCCCAACCTGCGAGCCACAAACGTCTCCCCCATAAACGTCTCCCCTTCACACACACATTCTCCCAACCTGCGCCCCACAAACGTCTCCCCCCTAAACGTCTCCCCTTCACACGCACCTTCTCCCAACTTGCGCCCCACAAACGTCTCCCCTTCACACGCACCTTCTCCGAACCTGCGCCCCACAAACGTCTCCCCCCTAAACGTCTCCCCTTCATACGCACCTTCTCCGAACCTGGGCCCCACAAACGTCTCCCCCCTTAACGTCTCCCCTTCACACGAACCTTCTCCGAACCTGCACCCCACAAACGTCTCCCCCCTAAACGTCTCCCCTTCACACGCACCTTGTCCGAACCTGCGCCCCACAAATGTCTCCCCCCTAAACGTCTCCCCTTCACACGCACCTTCTCCGAACCTGCGCCCCACAAACGTCTCCCCCCTAAACGTCTCCCCTTCATATGAACCTTCTCCCAACCTGCGTCCCACGCACCTTCTCCGAACCTGCGCCCCACAAACGTCTTCCCCCCTAAACGTCTCCCCTTCACACGCACCTTCTCCTAACCTGCGCTCCACAAACGTCTCCCCCCTAAACGTCTCCCCTTCACACACACCTTCTCCCAACCTGCGCCCTACAAATGTCTCCCCCCTGAACGTCTCCCCTTCACACGCACCTTCTCCCAACCTGCGCCCCACAAACGTCTCCCCCCTAAACGTCTCCCCTTGACACACACCTTCTCCCATCCTGCGCCCTACAAACGTCTCCCCACTAAACGTCTCCCCTTCACACGCACCTTCTCCCAACCTGCGCCCCATAAACGTCTCCCCCCTAAACGTCTCCCCTTCCTACGCACCTTCTCCCAACCTGCGCCCCACAAACGTCTCCCCCCTAAACGTCTCCCCTTCACACGCACCTTCTCCCTACCTGCGACCCACAAACGTCTCCCCCCTAAACGTCTCCCCTTCACACGAACCGTCTCCCAACCTGCGCCCCACGCACCTTCTCCGAACCTGCGCCCCACAAACGTCTTCCCCCCTAAACGTCTCCCCTTGACACGCACCTTCTCCCAACCTGCGCCCCACAAACGTCTCCCCCCTAAACGTCTCCCCTTCACACACACCTTCTCCCATCCTGCGCCCTACAAACGTCTCCCCACTAAACGTCTCCCCTTCACACGCACCTTCTCCGAACCTGCGCCCCACAAACGTCTCCCCCCTAAACGTCTCCCCTTCATATGAACCATCTCCCAACCTGCGCCCCACGCACCTTCTCCGAACCTGCGCCCCACAAACGTCTTCCCCCCTAAACGTCTCCCCTTCACACGCACCTTCTCCCAACCTGCGCTCCACAAACGTCTCCCCCCTAAACGTCTCCCCTTCACACACACCTTCTCCCAACCTGCGCCCTACAAACGTCTCCCCCCTGAACGTCTCCCCTTCACACGCACCTTCTCCCAACCTGCGCCCCACAAACGTCTCCCCCCTAAACGTCTCCCCTTCACACACACCTTCTCCCATCCTGCGCCCTACAAACGTCTCCCCACTAAACGTCTCCCCTTCACACGCACCTTCTCCCAACCTGCGCCCCATAAACGTCTCCCCCCTAAACGTCTCCCCTTCCTACGCACCTTCTCCAAACCTGCGCCCCACAAACGTCTCCCCCCTAAACGTCTCCCCTTCACACGAACCTTCGCCCAACCTGCGCCCCACAAACGTCTCCCCCCTAAACGTCTCCCCTTCACATGCACCTTCTCCGAACCTGCGCCCCACAAACGTCTCCCCCCTAAACGTCTCCCCTTCACACGCACCTTCTCCGAACCTGCACCCCACAAACGTCTCCCCCCTAAACGTCTCCCCTTCACACGCACCTTCTCCGAACCTGCGCCCCACAAACGTCTCCCCCCTAAACGTCTCCCCTTCATATGAACCTTCTCCCAACCTGCGTCCCACGCACCTTCTCCGAACCTGCGCCCCACAAACGTCTTCCCCCCTAAACGTCTCCCCTTCACACGCACCTTCTCCTAACCTGCGCTCCACAAACGTCTCCCCCCTAAACGTCTCCCCTTCACACACACCTTCTCCCAACCTGCGCCCTACAAATGTCTCCCCCCTGAACGTCTCCCCTTCACACGCACCTTCTCCCAACCTGCGCCCCACAAACGTCTCCCCCCTAAACGTCTCCCCTTGACACACACCTTCTCCCATCCTGCGCCCTACAAACGTCTCCCCACTAAACGTCTCCCCTTCACACGCACCTTCTCCCAACCTGCGCCCCATAAACGTCTCCCCCCTAAACGTCTCCCCTTCCTACGCACCTTCTCCCAACCTGCGCCCCACAAACGTCTCCCCCCTAAACGTCTCCCCTTCACACGCACCTTCTCCCTACCTGCGACCCACAAACGTCTCCCCCCTAAACGTCTCCCCTTCACACGAACCGTCTCCCAACCTGCGCCCCACGCACCTTCTCCGAACCTGCGCCCCACAAACGTCTTCCCCCCTAAACGTCTCCCCTTGACACGCACCTTCTCCCAACCTGCGCCCCACAAACGTCTCCCCCCTAAACGTCTCCCCTTCACACACACCTTCTCCCATCCTGCGCCCTACAAACGTCTCCCCACTAAACGTCTCCCCTTCACACGCACCTTCTCCGAACCTGCGCCCCACAAACGTCTCCCCCCTAAACGTCTCCCCTTCATATGAACCATCTCCCAACCTGCGCCCCACGCACCTTCTCCGAACCTGCGCCCCACAAACGTCTTCCCCCCTAAACGTCTCCCCTTCACACGCACCTTCTCCCAACCTGCGCTCCACAAACGTCTCCCCCCTAAACGTCTCCCCTTCACACACACCTTCTCCCAACCTGCGCCCTACAAACGTCTCCCCCCTGAACGTCTCCCCTTCACACGCACCTTCTCCCAACCTGCGCCCCACAAACGTCTCCCCCCTAAACGTCTCCCCTTCACACACACCTTCTCCCATCCTGCGCCCTACAAACGTCTCCCCACTAAACGTCTCCCCTTCACACGCACCTTCTCCCAACCTGCGCCCCATAAACGTCTCCCCCCTAAACGTCTCCCCTTCCTACGCACCTTCTCCAAACCTGCGCCCCACAAACGTCTCCCCCCTAAACGTCTCCCCTTCACACGAACCTTCGCCCAACCTGCGCCCCACAAACGTCTCCCCCCTAAACGTCTCCCCTTCACATGCACCTTCTCCGAACCTGCGCCCCACAAACGTCTCCCCCCTAAACGTCTCCCCTTCACACGCACCTTCTCCGAACCTGCACCCCACAAACGTCTCCCCCCTAAACGTCTCCCCTTCACACGCACCTTCTCCGAACCTGCGCCCCACAAACGTCTCCCCCCTAAACGTCTCCCCTTCACACGCACCTTCTCCGAACCTGCACCCCACAAACGTCTCCCCCCTAAACGTCTCCCCTTCACACGCACCTTCTCCGAACCTGCGCCCCACAAACGTCTCCCCCCTAAACATCTCCCCTTCACACGCACCTTCTCTGAACCTGCGCCCCACAAACGTCTCCCCCCTAAACGTCTCCCCTTCACACGAACCTTCTCCAAACCTGCGCCCCACGCACCTTCTTCGAACCTGCGCCCCACAAATGTCTTCCCCCCTAAACGTCTCCCCTTCACACGCACCTTCTTCCAAACTGCGCCCCACAAACGGCTCCCCCCTAAACGTCTCCCCTTCACATGCACCTTCTCCCAACCTGCGCCCTACAAACGTCTCCCCCCTGAACGTCTCCCCTTGACACGCACCTTCTCCCAACCAGCGTCTCACAAACGTCTCCCCACTAAACGTCTCCCCTTCACACGCACCTTCTCCCAACCTGCGACCCCCAAACGTCTCCCCCCTAAACGTCTCCCTTTCACACGCACCTTCTCCCAACCTGCGCCCCAGAAACGTCTCCTCCTTAAACGTCTTCCCTTCACACGCACCTTCTCCCAACCTGCGCCCCCCAAACGTCTCCCCCCTAAACGTCTCCCCTTCACACGCACCTTCTCCGCACCTGCGCCCCACAAACGTCCCCCCCCCCCCCTAAACGTCTCCCCTTCACACGCACCTTCTCCGAACCTGCGCCCCCCAAACGTCTCCACCCTAAACGTCTCCCCTTCACACGCATCTTCTCCAAACCTGCGCCCCACAAACGTCTCCCCCCTAAACGTCTCCCTTTCACACGCACCTTCTCCCAACCTGCGCCCCACAAAAGTCTCCCCCCTAAACGACTCCCCTTCACACACATCTTCTCCCAACTTGCGCCCCACAAACGTCTCCCCCCTAATCGTCTCCCCTTCACACGCACCTTCTCCGCACCTGCGCCCCATAAACGTCTCCCCCCTAAACTTCTCCCCTTCATACGCACCTTCTCCCAACCTGCGCCCCACAAACGTCTCCCCCCTAAACGTCTCCCCTTCACACGCACCTTCTCCCTATCTGCGACCCACAAACGTCTCCCCCCTAAACTTCTCCCCTTCACACGCACCTTCTCCCAACCTGCGCGCCACAAACGTCTCCCCCCTAAACGTCTCCTCTTCACACGGACCTTCTCCCAACCTGCGCCCCACAAACGTCTCCCCCCTAAACGTCTCCCGTTCACACGCACCTTCTCCCAACCTGCGCCCCACAAACGTCTCCCCCCTAAACATCTCCCCTTCACACGCACCTTCTCCGAACCTGCGCCCCACAAACCTCTCCCCCCTAAACGTCTCCCCTTCACACGCACCTTCTCCGAACCTGCACCCCACAAACGTCTCCCCCCTAAACGTCTCCCCTTCACACACACCTTCTCCCAACCTGCGCCCTACAAACGTCTCCCCCTTAACATCTCCCCTTCACACGCACCTTCTCCCAACCTGCGCCCCACAAACGTCTCCCCCCTAAACGTCTCCCCTTCACACGCACCTTCTCCCAACCTGCGACCCCCAAACGTCTCCCCCCTAAACGTCTCCCCTTCACACGCATTTTCTCCGCACCTGCGCCCCATAAACGTCTCCCCCCTAAACGTCTCCCCTTCACACGCACCTTCTCCCAACCTGCGCCCCACAAACGTCTCCCCCCTAAACATCTCCCCTTCACACGCACCTTCTCCTTACCTGCAACACACAAACGTCTCCCCCCTAAACGTCTCCTCTTCACACGCACCTTCTCCCAACCTGCGCCCCACAAACGCGTCCCCCTAAACGTCTCCCGTTCACACGCACCTTCTCCCAACTTGTGCCCCACAAACGTCTCCCCTTCACACGCACCTTCTCCCAACCTGCGCCCCACAAACGTCTCCCCCCTAAACACCTCCCCTTCACACGCACCTTCTCCGAACCTGCGCCCCAAAAACCTCTCCCCCCTAAACGTCTCCCCTTCACACGCACCTTCTCCGAACCTGCACCCCACAAACGTGTCCCCCCTAAACGTCTCCCCTTCACACGCACCTTCTCCCTACCTGCAACCCACAAACGTCTCCCCCCTAAACGTCTCCTCTTCACACACACCTTCTCCCAACCTGCGCCCCACAAACGTGTCCCCCTAAACGTCTCCCGTTCACACGCTCCTTCTCCCAACTTGTGCCCCACAAACGTCTCCCCTTCACACGCACCTTCTCCCAACCTGCGCCCCACACACGTCTCCCCCCTAAACATCTCCCCTTCACACGCACCTTCTCCGAACCTGCGCCCCAAAAACCTCTCCCCCCTGAACGTCTCCCATTCACACGCACCTTCTCCCAACCTGCGCCCCACAAACATCACCCCCCTAAACGTCTCCCCTTCACACGCACCTTCTCCCAACATGCGCCCCCCAAACGTCTCCCCCCTAAACGTCTCCCCTTCACACGCACCTTCTCCCAACCTGCGCCCCCCAAACGCCCCCCCCCCTAAACGTCTCCCCTTCACACGCTCCTTCTCCAACCTTCGCCCCAGAAACGTCTCCCCCCTAAACGTCTCCCCTTCACACGCACCTTCTCCCAACCTGCGCCCCACAAACGTCTACCCCTAAACGTCTCCCCTTCACACGCACCTTCTCCTAACCTGCGCCCCACACATGTCTCCCCCCTAAACGTCTCCCCTTCACACGCACCTTCTCTCAACATGCGCCCCCCCAAACGTCTCCCCCCTAAACGTCTCCCCTTCACACGCACCTTCTCCCAACCTGCGCCCCCCAAACGCCCCCCCCCTAAACGTCTCCCCTTCACACGCACCTTCTCCCAACCTGCGCCCCACAAACGTCTCCCCCCTAAACGTCTCCCCTTCACACGAACCTTCGCCCAACCTGCGCCCCACAAACGTCTCCCCCCTAAACGTCTCCCCTTCACATGCACCTTCTCCGAACCTGCGCCCCACAAACGTCTCCCCCCTAAACGTCTCCCCTTCACACGCACCTTCTCCGAACCTGCACCCCACAAACGTCTCCCCCCTAAACGTCTCCCCTTCACACGCACCTTCTCCGAACCTGCGCCCCACAAACGTCTCCCCCCTAAACGTCTCCCCTTCACACGCACCTTCTCCGAACCTGCACCCCACAAACGTCTCCCCCCTAAACGTCTCCCCTTCACACGCACCTTCTCCGAACCTGCGCCCCACAAACGTCTCCCCCCTAAACATCTCCCCTTCACACGCACCTTCTCCGAACCTGCGCCCCACAAACGTCTCCCCCCTAAACGTCTCCCCTTCACACGAACCTTCTCCAAACCTGCACCCCACGCACCTTCTTCGAACCTGCGCCCCACAAATGTCTTCCCCCCTAAACGTCTCCCCTTCACACGCACCTTCTCCCAACCTGCGACCCCCAAACGTCTCCCCACTAAACGTCTTCCCTTCACACGCACCTTCTCCCAACCTGCGCCCCCCAAACGTCTCCCCCCTAAACGTCTCCCCTTCACACGCACCTTCTCCGCACCTGCGCCCCACAAACGTCCCCCCCCCCCCTAAACGTCTCCCCTTCACACGCACCTTCTCCGAACCTGCGCCCCCCAAACATCTCCACCCTAAACGTCTCCCCTTCACACGCATCTTCTCCAAACCTGCGCCCCACAAACGTCTCCCCCCTAAACGTCTCCCTTTCACACGCACCTTCTCCCAACCTGCGCCCCACAAAAGTCTCCCCCCTAAACGACTCCCCTTCACACACATCTTCTCCCAACTTGCGCCCCACAAACGTCTCCCCCCTAATCGTCTCCCCTTCACACGCACCTTCTCCGCACCTGCGCCCCATAAACGTCTCCCCCCTAAACTTCTCCCCTTCATACGCACCTTCTCCCAACCTGCGCCCCACAAACGTCTCCCCCCTAAACGTCTCCCCTTCACACGCACCTTCTCCCTATCTGCGACCCACAAACGTCTCCCCCCTAAACTTCTCCCCTTCACACGCACCTTCTCCCAACCTGCGCGCCACAAACGTCTCCCCCCTAAACGTCTCCTCTTCACACGGACCTTCTCCCAACCTGCGCCCCACAAACGTCTCCCCCCTAAACGTCTCCCGTTCACACGCACCTTCTCCCAACCTGCGCCCCACAAACGTCTCCCCCCTAAACATCTCCCCTTCACACGCACCTTCTCCGAACCTGCGCCCCACAAACCTCTCCCCCCTAAACGTCTCCCCTTCACACGCACCTTCTCCGAACCTGCACCCCACAAACGTCTCCCCCCTAAACGTCTCCCCTTCACACACACCTTCTCCCAACCTGCGCCCTACAAACGTCTCCCCCTTAACATCTCCCCTTCACACGCACCTTCTCCCAACCTGCGCCCCACAAACGTCTCCCCCCTAAACGTCTCCCCTTCACACGCACCTTCTCCCAACCTGCGACCCCCAAACGTCTCCCCCCTAAACGTCTCCCCTTCACACGCATTTTCTCCGCACCTGCGCCCCATAAACGTCTCCCCCCTAAACGTCTCCCCTTCACACGCACCTTCTCCCAACCTGCGCCCCACAAACGTCTCCCCCCTAAACATCTCCCCTTCACACGCACCTTCTCCTTACCTGCAACACACAAACGTCTCCCCCCTAAACGTCTCCTCTTCACACGCACCTTCTCCCAACCTGCGCCCCACAAACGCGTCCCCCTAAACGTCTCCCGTTCACACGCACCTTCTCCCAACTTGTGCCCCACAAACGTCTCCCCTTCACACGCACCTTCTCCCAACCTGCGCCCCACAAACGTCTCCCCCCTAAACACCTCCCCTTCACACGCACCTTCTCCGAACCTGCGCCCCAAAAACCTCTCCCCCCTAAACGTCTCCCCTTCACACGCACCTTCTCCGAACCTGCACCCCACAAACGTGTCCCCCCTAAACGTCTCCCCTTCACACGCACCTTCTCCCTACCTGCAACCCACAAACGTCTCCCCCCTAAACGTCTCCTCTTTACACACACCTTCTCCCAACCTGCGCCCCACAAACGTGTCCCCCTAAACGTCTCCCGTTCACACGCTCCTTCTCCCAACTTGTGCCCCACAAACGTCTCCCCTTCACACGGACCTTCTCCCAACCTGCGCCCCACACACGTCTCCCCCCTAAACATCTCCCCTTCACACGCACCTTCTCCGAACCTGCGCCCCAAAAACCTCTCCCCCCTGAACGTCTCCCATTCACACGCACCTTCTCCCAACCTGCGCCCCACAAACATCACCCCCCTAAACGTCTCCCCTTCACACGCACCTTCTCCCAACATGCGCCCCCCAAACGTCTCCCCCCTAAACGTCTCCCCTTCACACGCACCTTCTCCCAACCTGCGCCCCCCAAACGCCCCCCCCCCCTAAACGTCTCCCCTTCACACGCTCCTTCTCCCAACCTTCGCCCCAGAAACGTCTCCCCCCTAAACGTCTCCCCTTCACACGCACCTTCTCCCAACCTGCGCCCCACAAACGTCTACCCCTAAACGTCTCCCCTTCACACGCACCTTCTCCTAACCTGCGCCCCACACATGTCTCCCCCCTAAACGTCTCCCCTTCACACGCACCTTCTCTCAACATGCGCCCCCCAAACGTCTCCCCCCTAAACGTCTCCCCTTCACACGCACCTTCTCCCAACCTGCGCCCCCCAAACGCCCCCCCCCCTAAACGTCTCCCCTTCACACGCACCTTCTCCCAACCTGCGCCCCACAAACGTCTCCCCCCTAAACGTCTCCCCTTCACACGCACCTTCTCCGAACCTCTGCGCCACAAATGTCTCCCCCCTAAACGTCTCCCTTTCACACGCACCTTCTCCGAACCTGCGCGCCACAAACGTCTCCCCCCTAAACGTCTCCCCTTCACACGCACCTTCTCCGAACCTGCGCGCCATCTTCTCCCAACCTGCACCCCACAAACGTCTCCCCCCTAAACGTCTCCCCTTCACACACACCTTCTCCCAACCTGCGCACGTCTCACCCCTAAACGTCTCCCCTTCACACACAACTTCTCCCAACCTGCGCCCCATAAACGTCTCCCCTTCACACGCACCTTCTCCCAACCTGCGCCCCACAAACGTCTCCCCCCTAAACGTCTCACCTTCACACGCACCTTCTCCCTACCTGCGACCCACAAACGTCTCCTCCCTAAGCGTCTCCCCTTCACACGCACCTTCTCCCAACCTGCGCGCCACAAACGTCTCCCCCATAAACGTCTCCCCTTCACACACACATTCTCCCAACCTGCGCCCCACAAACGTCTCCCCCCTAAACGTCTCCCCTTCACACGCACCTTCTCCCAACTTGTGCCCCACAAACGTCTCCCCTTCACACGCACCTTCTCCGAACCTGCGCCCCACAAACGTCTCCCCCCTAAACGTCTCCCCTTCACACGCACCTTCTCCGAACCTGGGCCCCACAAACGTCTCCCCCCTAAACGTCTCCCCTTCACACGAACCTTCTCCGAACCTGCACCCCACAAACGTCTCCCCCCTAAATGTCTCCCCTTCACACGCACCTTGTCCGAACCTGCGCCCCACAAATGTCTCCCCCCTAAACGTCTCCCCTTCACACGCACCTTCTCCGAACCTGCGCCCCACAAACGTCTCCCCCCTAAACGTCTCCCCTTCATATGAACCTTCTCCCAACCTGCGCCCCACGCACCTTCTCCGAACCTGCGCCCCACAAACGTCTTCCCCCCTAAACGTCTCCCCTTCACACGCACCTTCTCCCAACATGCGCCCCCAAACGTCTCCCCCCTAAACGTCTCCCCTTCACACGCACCTTCTCCCAACCTGCGCCCCACACACGTCTCCCCCCTAAACGTCTCCCCTTCACACGCACCTTCTCCCAACATGCGCCCCCCAAACGTCTCCCCCCTAAACGTCTCCCCTTCACACGCACCTTCTCCCAACCTGCGCCCCCCCAAACGCCCCCCCCCCTAAACGTCTCCCCTTCACACGCTCCTTCTCCCAACCTTCGCCCCAGAAACGTCTCCCCCCTAAACGTCTCCCCTTCACACGCACCTTCTCCCAACCTGCGCCCCACAAACGTCTACCCCTAAACGTCTCCCCTTCACACGCACCTTCTCCTAACCTGCGCCCCACACATGTCTCCCCCCTAAACGTCTCCCCTTCACACGCACCTTCTCCCAACATGCGCCCCCCAAACGTCTCCCCCCTAAACGTCTCCCCTTCACATGCACCTTCTCCCAACCTGCGCCCCCCAAACGCCCCCCCCCTAAACGTCTCCCCTTCACACGCACCTTCTCCCAACCTGCGCCCCACAAACATCTCCCCCCTAAACGTCTCCACTTCACACGCACCTTCTCCAAACCTCTGCGCCTCAAATGTCTCCCCCCTAAACGTCTCCCCTTCACACGCACCTTCTCCGAACCTGCGCGCCACAAACGTCTCCCCCCTAAACGTCTCCCCTTCACACGCACCTTCTCCCAACCAGCGTCTCACAAACGTCTCCCCCCTAAACGTCTCCCTTTCACACGCACCTTCTCCCAACCTGCGCCCCAGAAACGTCTCCTCCTTAAACGTCTCCCCTTCACACGCACCTTCTCCCAACCTGCGCCCCCCAAACGTCTCCCCCCTAAACGTCTCCCCTTCACACGCACCTTCTCCGCACCTGCGCCCCACAAACGTCCCCCCCCCCTAAACGTCTCCCCTTCACACGCACCTTCTCCGAACCTGCGCCCCCCAAACGTCTCCGCCCTAAACGTCTCCCCTTCACACGCATCTTCTCCAAACCTGCGCCCCACAAACGTCTCCCCCCTAAACGTCTCCCGTTCACACGCACCTTCTCCCAACCTGCGCCCCACAAACGTCTCCCCCCTAAACGTCTCCCCTTCACACGCACCTTCTCCCAACCTGCGCCCCACAAAAGTCTCCCCCCTAAACGACTCCCCTTCACACACATCTTCTCCCAACTTGCGCCCCGCAGACGTCTCCCCTTCACACGCACCTTCTCCCAAATTGCGCCCCACAAACGTCTCCCCCCTAAACGTCTCCCCTTCACACGCACCTTCTCCGCACCTGCGCCCCATAAACGTCTCCCCCCTAAACGTCTCCCCTTCATACGCACCTTCTCCCAACCTGCGCCCCACAAACGTCTCCCCCCTAAACGTCTCCCCTTCACACGCACCTTCTTCCTAACTGCGACCCACAAACGTCTCTCCCCTAAACGTCTCCCCTTCACACGCACCTTCTCCCAACCTGCGCGCCACAAATGTCTCCCCCCTAAACGTCTCCTCTTCAAACGCACCTTCTCCCAACCTGCGCCCCACAAACGTCTCCCCCGTAAACATCTCCCGTTCACACGCACCTTCTCCCAACCTGCGGCCCACAAACGTCTACCCCCTAAACATCTCCCCTTCACACGCACCTTCTCCGAACCTGCGCCCCACAAACCGCTCCCCCCTAAACGTCTCCCCTTCACACGCACCTTCTCCGAACCTGCACCCCACAAACGTCTCCCCTTCACACGCACCTTGTCCGAACCTGCGCCCCATAAACGTATCCCCCTCAAACGTCTCCCCTTCACACGCACCTTCTCTGAACCTGCGCCCGACAAACGTCTCCCCCCTAAACGTCTCCCCTTCACACGCACCTTCTCCCAACCTGCGCCCTACAAACGTCTCCCCCTTAACGTCTCCCCTTCACACGCACCTTCTCCCAACCTGCGCCCCACAAACGTCTCCCCCCTAAACGTCTCCCCTTCACACGCACCTTCTCCGAACCTGCGACCCCCAAACGTCTCCACCCTAAACGTCTCCCCTTCACACGCATTTTCTCCGCACCTGCGCCCCATAAACGTCTCCCCCCCTAAACGTCTCCCCTTCATACGCACCTTCTCGCAACCTACGCCCCACAAACGTCTCCCCCCTAAACATCTCCCCTTCACACGCACCTTCTCCCTACCTGCAACCCACAAACGTCTCCCCCCTAAACGTCTCCTCTTCACACGCACATTCTCCCAACCTGCGCCCCACAAACGTGTTTCCCTAAACGTCTCCCGTTCACACGCACCTTCTCCCAGCTTGTGCCCCACAAACGTCTCCCCCCTAAACGTCTCCCCTTCACACGCACCTTCTCCCAACCTGCGCCCCACAAACGTCTACCCCTAAACGTCTCCCCTTCACACGCACCTTCTCCTAACCTGCGCCCCACACATGTCTCCCCCCTAAACGTCTCCCCTTCACACGCACCTTCTCCCAACATGCGCCCCCCAAACGTCTCCCCCCTAAACGTCTCCCCTTCACATGCACCTTCTCCCAACCTGCGCCCCCCAAACGCCCCCCCCCTAAACGTCTCCCCTTCACACGCACCTTCTCCCAACCTGCGCCCCACAAACATCTCCCCCCTAAACGTCTCCCCTTCACACGCACCTTCTCCAAACCTCTGCGCCTCAAATGTCTCCCCCCTAAACGTCTCCCCTTCACACGCACCTTCTCCGAACCTGCGCGCCACAAACGTCTCCCCCCTAAACGTCTCCCCTTCATACGCACCTTCTCCCAACCAGCGTCTCACAAACGTCTCCCCCCTAAACGTCTCCCTTTCACACGCACCTTCTCCCAACCTGCGCCCCAGAAACGTCTCCTCCTTAAACGTCTCCCCTTCACACGCACCTTCTCCCAACCTGCGCCCCCCAAACGTCTCCCCCCTAAACGTCTCCCCTTCACACGCACCTTCTCCGCACCTGCGCCCCACAAACGTCCCCCCCCCCTAAACGTCTCCCCTTCACACGCACCTTCTCCGAACCTGCGCCCCCCAAACGTCTCCGCCCTAAACGTCTCCCCTTCACACGCATCTTCTCCAAACCTGCGCCCCACAAACGTCTCCCCCCTAAACGTCTCCCGTTCACACGCACCTTCTCCCAACCTGCGCCCCACAAACGTCTCCCCCCTAAACGTCTCCCCTTCACACACATCTTCTCCCAACTTGCGCCCCGCAGACGTCTCCCCTTCACACGCACCTTCTCCCAAATTGCGCCCCACAAACGTCTCCCCCCTAAACGTCTCCCCTTCACACGCACCTTCTCCGCACCTGCGCCCCATAAACGTCTCCCCCCTAAACGTCTCCCCTTCATACGCACCTTCTCCCAACCTGCGCCCCACAAACGTCTCCCCCCTAAACGTCTCCCCTTCACACGCACCTTCTTCCTAACTGCGACCCACAAACGTCTCTCCCCTAAACGTCTCCCCTTCACACGCACCTTCTCCCAACCTGCGCGCCACAAATGTCTCCCCCCTAAACGTCTCCTCTTCAAACGCACCTTCTCCCAACCTGCGCCCCACAAACGTCTCCCCCGTAAACATCTCCCGTTCACACGCACCTTCTCCCAACCTGCGCCCCACAAACGTCTACCCCCTAAACATCTCCCCTTCACACGCACCTTCTCCGAACCTGCGCCCCACAAACCGCTCCCCCCAAAACGTCTCCCCTTCACACGCACCTTCTCCGAACCTGCACCCCACAAACGTCTCCCCTTCACACGCACCTTGTCCGAACCTGCGCCCCATAAACGTATCCCCCTCAAACGTCTCCCCTTCACACGCACCTTCTCTGAACCTGCGCCCGACAAACGTCTCCCCCCTAAACGTCTCCCCTTCACACGCACCTTCTCCCAACCTGCGCCCTACAAACGTCTCCCCCTTAACGTCTCCCCTTCACACGCACCTTCTCCCAACCTGCGCCCCACAAACGTCTCCCCCCTAAACGTCTCCCCTTCACACGCACCTTCTCCGAACCTGCGACCCCCAAACGTCTCCACCCTAAACGTCTCCCCTTCACACGCATTTTCTCCGCACCTGCGCCCCATAAACGTCTCCCCCCCTAAACGTCTCCCCTTCATACGCATCTTCTCGCAACCTACGCCCCACAAACGTCTCCCCCCTAAACATCTCCCCTTCACACGCACCTTCTCCCTACCTGCAACCCACAAACGTCTCCCCCCTAAACGTCTCCTCTTCACACGCACATTCTCCCAACCTGCGCCCCACAAACGTGTTTCCCTAAACGTCTCCCGTTCACACGCACCTTCTCCCAGCTTGTGCCCCACAAACGTCTCCCCCCTAAACATCTCCCCTTCACACGCACCTTCTCCGAACCTGCGCCCAAAAAAACTCTCCCCCCTAAACGTCTCCCCTTCACACGCACCTTCTCCGAACCTGCACCCCACAAACGTCTCCCCCCTAAACGTCTCCCCTTCACACGCACCTTGTCCGAACCTGTGGCCCACAAACGTCTCCCCCCTAAACGTCTCCCCTTCACACTCACCTTCTCCGAACCTGCGCCCCACAAACGTCTCCCCTCTAAACGTCTCTCCTTCACACGCACCTTCTCCCAACATGCGCCCTACAAACGTCTCCCCCCTAAACGTCTCCCCTTCACACGCACCTTCTACCAACCTGCGCCCCACAAACGTCTCCCCCCTAAACGTCTCCCCTTCACACGCACCTTCTCCCAACCTGCGACCCCCAAACGTCTCCCCCCTAAACCTCTCCCCTTCACACGCACCTTCTCCCAACCTGCGCCCCACAAACGTCTCCCCCCTAAACGTCTCCCCTTCACACGCACCTTCTCCCAACCTGCCCCCCCCAAACGTCTCCCCCCTAAACGTCTCCCCTTCACACGCACCTTCTCCCAACCTGCCCCCCCCAAACGTCTCCCCCCTAAACGTCTCCCCTTCACACGAACCTTCTCCCAACTTGCGCCCCACGCACCTTCTCCGCACCTGCGCCCCATAAACGTCTCCCCCCTAAACGTCTCCCCTTCATACGCACCTTCTCCCAACCTGCGCCCCACAAACGTCTCCCCCCTAAACGTCTCCCCTTCACACGCACCTTCTTCCTAACTGCGACCCACAAACGTCTCTCCCCTAAACGTCTCCCCTTCACACGCACCTTCTCCCAACCTGCGCGCCACAAATGTCTCCCCCCTAAACGTCTCCTCTTCAAACGCACCTTCTCCCAACCTGCGCCCCACAAACGTCTCCCCCGTAAACATCTCCCGTTCACACGCACCTTCTCCCAACCTGCGCCCCACAAACGTCTACCCCCTAAACATCTCCCCTTCACACGCACCTTCTCCGAACCTGCGCCCCACAAACCGCTCCCCCCAAAACGTCTCCCCTTCACACGCACCTTCTCCGAACCTGCACCCCACAAACGTCTCCCCTTCACACGCACCTTGTCCGAACCTGCGCCCCATAAACGTATCCCCCTCAAACGTCTCCCCTTCACACGCACCTTCTCTGAACCTGCGCCCGACAAACGTCTCCCCCCTAAACGTCTCCCCTTCACACGCACCTTCTCCCAACCTGCGCCCTACAAACGTCTCCCCCTTAACGTCTCCCCTTCACACGCACCTTCTCCCAACCTGCGCCCCACAAACGTCTCCCCCCTAAACGTCTCCCCTTCACACGCACCTTCTCCGAACCTGCGACCCCCAAACGTCTCCACCCTAAACGTCTCCCCTTCACACGCATTTTCTCCGCACCTGCGCCCCATAAACGTCTCCCCCCCTAAACGTCTCCCCTTCATACGCACCTTCTCGCAACCTACGCCCCACAAACGTCTCCCCCCTAAACATCTCCCCTTCACACGCACCTTCTCTATACCTGCAACCCACAAACGTCTCCCCCCTAAACGTCTCCTCTTCACACGCACATTCTCCCAACCTGCGCCCCACAAACGTGTTTCCCTAAACGTCTCCCGTTCACACGCACCTTCTCCCAGCTTGTGCCCCACAAACGTCTCCCCCCTAAACATCTCCCCTTCACACGCACCTTCTCCGAACCTGCGCCCAAAAAAACTCTCCCCCCTAAACGTCTCCCCTTCACACGCACCTTCTCCGAACCTGCACCCCACAAACGTCTCCCCCCTAAACGTCTCCCCTTCACACGCACCTTGTCCGAACCTGTGGCCCACAAACGTCTCCCCCCTAAACGTCTCCCCTTCACACTCACCTTCTCCGAACCTGCGCCCCACAAACGTCTCCCCTCTAAACGTCTCTCCTTCACACGCACCTTCTCCCAACATGCGCCCTACAAACGTCTCCCCCCTAAACGTCTCCCCTTCACACGCACCTTCTACCAACCTGCGCCCCACAAACGTCTCCCCCCTAAACGTCTCCCCTTCACACGCACCTTCTCCCAACCTGCGACCCCCAAACGTCTCCCCCCTAAACCTCTCCCCTTCACACGCACCTTCTCCCAACCTGCGCCCCACAAACGTCTCCCCCCTAAACGTCTCCCCTTCACACGCACCTTCTCCCAACCTGCCCCCCCCAAACGTCTCCCCCCTAAACGTCTCCCCTTCACACGAACCTTCTCCCAACTTGCGCCCCACGCACCTTCTCCGAACTTGCGCCCCACAAACGTCTTCCCCCCTAAACGTCTCCCCTTCACACGCACCTTTTCCCAACCTGGGCCCTACAAACGTCTCCCCCCTAAACGTCTCCCCTTCACACGCACCTTCTCCCAACCTGCGCCCCACAAACGTCTCCCCTTCACACGCGGCTTCTCCCAACCTGCGACCCCCAAACGTCTCCCCCCTAAACGTCTCCCTTTCACACGCACCTTCTCCCAACCTGTGCCCCACAAACGTCTCCCCTTCACACGCACCTTCTCCCAACCTGCGCCCCACAAACGTCTCCCCCCTAAACATCTCCCCTTCACACGCACCTTCTCCGAACCTGCGCCCCACAAACCTCTCCCCCCTAAACGTCTCCCCTTCCCACGCACCTTCTCCGAACCTGCGCCCCACAAACGTCTCCCCCCTAAACGTCTCCCCTTCACACGCACCTTCTCCGAACTTGCGCCCCACAAACGTGTCCCCCCTAGACGTCTCCCCTTCATACGCACCTTCTCCCAACCTGCGCCCTACAAACGTCTCCCCACTAAACGTCTCCCCTTCATACGCACCTTTTCCCAACCTGCGCCCCACAAACGTCTCCCCCTTAAATGTCTCCCCTTCACACGCACCTTCTCCCAACCTGCGACCCCCAAACGTCTCCCCCTAAACGTCTCCCCTTCACACGCACCTTCTCCCAACCTGCGACCCCCAAACATCTCCCCCCTAAACGTCTCCCTTTCACACGCACCTTCTCCCAACCTGCGCCCCAAAAACGTCTCCTCCTTAAACGTCTCCCCTTCACACGCACCTTCTCCCAACCTGCGCCCCCCAAACGTCTCTCCCCTAAACGTCTCCCCTTCACACGCACCTTCTCCGCACCTACGCCCCACAAACGTCCCCCCCCCTAAACGTCTCCCCTTCACACGCACCTTCTCCGAACCTGCGCCCCCCAAACGTCTCCGCCCTAAACGTCTCCCCTTCACACGCATCTTCTCCAAACCTGCGCCCCACAAACGTCTCCCCCCTAAACGTCTCCCGTTCACACGCACCTTCTCCCAACCTGCGCCCCACAAACGTCTCCCCCCTAAACGTCTCCCCTTCACACGCACCTTCTCCCAACCTGCGCCCCACAAAAGTCTCCCCCCTAAACGACACCCCTTCACACACATCTTCTCCCAACTTGCGCCCCACAAACGTCTCCCCTTCACACGCACCTTCTCCGAACCTGCACCCCACAAACGTCTCCCCCCTAAACGTCTCCCCTTCACACGCACCTTGTCCGAACCTGCGCCCCACAAACGTATCCCCCTCAAACATCTCCCCTTCACACGCACCTTCTCTGAACCTGCGCCCCACAAACGTCTCCCCCCTAAACGTCTCCCCTTCATACGCACCTTCTCCCAACCTGCGCCCTACAAACGTCTCCCCCTTAACGTCTCCCCTTCACACGCACCTTCTCCCAACCTGCGCCCCACAAACGTCTCCCCCCTAAACGTCTCCCCTTCACACGCACCTTCTCCCAACCTGCGACCCCCAAACGTCTCCCCCCTAAACGTCTCCCCTTCACACGCATTTTCTCCGCACCTGCGCCCCATAAACGTCTCCCCCCTAAACGTCTCCCCTTCATACGCACCTTCTCCCAACCTGCGCCCCACAAACGTCTCCCCCCTAAACGTCTCCCCTTCACACGCACCTTCTCCCTACCTGCAACCCACAAACGTCTCCCCCCTAAACGTCTCCTCTTCACACGCACCTTCTCCCAACCTGCGCCCCACAAACGTGTCCCCCTATACGTCTCCCGTTAACACGCACCTTCTCCCAACTTGTGCCCCACAAACGTCTCCCCTTCACATGCACCTTCTCCCAACCTGCGCCCCACAAACGTCTCCCCCCTAAACATCTCCCCTTCACACGCACCTTCTCCGAACCTGCGCCCCAAAAACCCCTCCCCCCTAAACGTCTCCCCTTCACACGCACCTTCTCCGAACCTGCACCCCACAAACGTCTCCCCCCTAAACATCTCCCCTTCACACGCACCTTCTCCGAACCTGCGCCCCACAAACCTCTCCCCCCTAAACGTCTCCCCTTCACACGCACCTTCTACGAACCTGCACCCCACAAACGTCTCCCCCCTAAACGTCTCCCCTTCACACGCACCTTGTCCGAACCTGCGCCCCACAAACGTATCCCCCTCAAACGTCTCCCCTTCACACGCACCTTCTCTGAACCTGCGCCCCACAAACGTCTCCCCCCTAAACGTCTCACCTTCACACGCACCTTCTCCCAACCTGCGCGCTACAAACGTCTCCCCCTTAACGTCTCCCCTTCACACGCACCTTCTCCCAACCTGCGCCCCACAAACGTCTCCCCCCTAAACGTCTCCCCTTCACACGCACCTTCTCCCAAGCTGCGACCCCCAAACGTCTCCCCCCTAAACGTCTCCCCTTCACACGCATTTTCTCCGCACCTGCGCCCCATAAACGTCTCCCCCCTAAACGTCTCCCCTTCATACGCACCTTCTCCCAACCTGCGCCCCACAAACGTCTCCCCCCTAAACGTCTCCCCTTCACACGCACCTTCTCCCTACCTGCAACCCACAAACGTCTCCCCCCTAAACGTCTCCCGTTCACACGCACCTTCTCCCAACTTGTGCCCCACAAACGTCTCCCCTTCACACGCACCTTCTCCCAACCTGCGCCCCACAAACGTCTCCCCCCTAAACATCTCCCCTTCACACGCACCTTCTCCGAACCTGCGCCCCAAAAACCTCTCCCCCCTAAACGTCTCCCCTTCACACGCACCTTCTCCGAACCTGCACCCCACAAACGTCTCCCCCCTAAACGTCTCCCCTTCACACGCACCTTGTCCGAACCTGTGGCCCACAAACGTCTCCCCCCTAAACGTCTCCCCTTCACACGCACCTTCTCCGAACCTGCGCCCCACAAACGTCTAATCGTCTCTCCTTCACACGCACCTTCTCCCAACCTGCGCCCTACAAACGTCTCCCCCCTAAACGTCTCCCCTTCATATGCACCTTCTCCCAACCTGCGCCCCACAAACGTCTCCCCCCGAAACGTCTCCCCTTCACACGCACCTTCTCCCAACCTGCGACCCCCAAACGTCTCCCCCCTAAACGTCTCCCCTTCACACGCACCTTCTCCCAACCTGCACCCCACAAACGTCTCCCCTCTATACGTCTTCCCTTCACACGCACCTTCTCCCAACCTGCGCCCCCCAAACGTCTCCCCCCTAAACCTGTCCCCATCACACGCACCTTCTCCCAACCTGCGCCCCACAAACGTCTCCCCCCTAAACGTCTCCCCTTCACACGCACCTTCTCCCAACCTGCACCCCCCAAACGTCTCCCCCCTAAACGTCTCCCCTTCACACGAACCTTCTCCCAACTTGCGCCCCACGCACCTTCTCCGAACTTGCGCCCCACAAACGTCTTCCCCCCTAAACGTCTCCCCTTCACACGCACCTTTTCCCAACCTGGGCCCCACAAACGTCTCCCCCCTAAACGTCTCCCCTTCACACGCACCTTCTCCCAACCTGCGCCCTACAAACGTCTCCCCCCTAAACGTCTCCCCTTCACACGCACCTTCTCCCAACCTGCGCCCCACAAACGTCTCCCCTTCACACGCAGCTTCTCCCAACCTGCGACCCCCAAACGTCTCCCACCTAAACGTCTCCCTTTCACACGCACCTTCTCCCAACCTGTGCCCCACAAACGTCTCCCCCCTAAATGTCTCCTCTTCACACGCACCTTCTCCCAACTTGCGCCCCACAAACGTCTCCCCTTCACACGCACCTTCTCCCAACCTGCGCCCTACAAACGTCTCCCCCCTAAACATCTCCCCTTCACACGCACCTTCTCCGAACCTGCGCCCCACAAACCTCTCCCCCCTAAACGTCTCCTCTTCCCACGCACCTTCTCCGAACCTGCGCCCCACAAACGTCTCCCCCCTAAACGTCTCCCCTTCACACGCACCTTCTCCGAACTTGCGCCCCAACAAACGTCTCCCCCCTAAACGTCTCCCCTTCATACGCACCTTCTCCCAACCTGCGCCCTACAAACGTCTCCCCACTAAACGTCTCCCCTTCACACGCACCTTCTCCCAACCTGCGCCCCACAAACGTCTCCCCCCTAAATGTCTCCCCTTCACACGCACCTTCTCCCAACCTACGACCCCCAAACCTCTCCCCCTAAACGTCTCCCCTTCACACGCACCTTCTCTCAACCTGTGCCCCACAAACGTCTCCCCCCTAAACGTCTCCCCTTCACACGCACCTTTTCCCAACCTGCGCCCCACAAACGTCTCCCCCCTAAACGTCTCCCCTTCACACGCACCTTCTTCCAACCTGCGCCCTACAAACGTCTCCCCCCTAAACGTCTCCCCTTCACACGCACCTTCTCCCAACATGCGCCCCACAAACGTCTCCCCTCTAAACGTCTCCCTTTCACACGCAGCTTCTCCCAACCTGCGCCCTACAAACGTCTCCCCCCTAAACGTCTCCCCTTCATACGCACCTTTTCCCAACCTGCGCCCCACAAACGTCTCCCCCCTAAACGTCTCCCCTTCACACGCACCTTCTCCCAACCTGCGCCCCACAAACGTCTTCCCCCCTAAACGTCTCCCCTTCACACGCACCTTTTCCCAACCTGGGCCCCACAAACGTCTCCCCCCTAAACGTCTCCCCTTCACACGCACCTTCTCCCAACCTGCGCCCTACAAACGTCTCCCCCCTAAACGTCTCCCCTTCACACGCACCTTCTCCCAACCTGCGCCCCACAAACGTCTCCCCTTCACACGCAGCTTCTCCCAACCTGCGACCCCCAAACGTCTCCCCCCTAAACGTCTCCCTTTCACACGCACCTTCTCCCAACCTGTGCCCCACAAACGTCTCCCCCCTAAATGTCTCCTCTTCACACGCACCTTCTCCCAACTTGCGCCCCACAAACGTCTCCCCTTCACACGCACCTTCTCCCAACCTCCGCCCTACAAACGTCTCCCCCCTAAACATCTCCCCTTCACACGCACCTTCTCCGAACCTGCGCCCCACAAACCTCTCCCCCCTAAACGTCTCCTCTTCCCACGCACCTTCTCCGAACCTGCGCCCCACAAACGTCTCCCCCCTAAACGTCTCCCCTTCACACGCACCTTCTCCGAACTTGCGCCCCACAAACGTCTCCCCCCTAAACGTCTCCCCTTCATACGCACCTTCTCCCAACCTGCGCCCTACAAACGTCTCCCCACTAAACGTCTCCCCTTCACACGCACCTTCTCCCAACCTGCGCCCCACAAACGTCTCCCCCCTAAATGTCTCCCCTTCACACGCACCTTCTCCCAACCTACGACCCCCAAACCTCTCCCCCTAAACGTCTCCCCTTCACACGCACCTTCTCTCAACCTGTGCCCCACAAACGTCTCCCCTCTAAACGTCTCCCCTTCACACGCACCTTCTCCCAACATGCGCCCCCCAAACGTCTCCCCCCTTAACCTCTCCCCTTCGCACGCACCTTCTCCCAACCTGCGCCCCACAAACGTCTCCAACCTAAACGTCTCCCCTTCACACGCACCTTCTCCCAACCTACGCCCCCCAAACGTCTCCCCCCTAAACGTCTCCCCTTCACACGCACCTTCTCCCAACCTGCGCCCCCCAAACGTCCCCCCCCTAAACGTCTCCCCTTCACACGAACCTTCTCCCAACCTGCGCCCCATGCACCTTCTTTGAACTTGCGCCCCACAAACGTCTTCCCCCCTAAACGTCTCCCCTTCATACGCACCTTTTCCCAACCTGCGCCCCACAAACGTCTCCCCCCTAAACGTCTCCCCTTCACACGCACCTTCTCCCAACCTGCGCCCTACAAACGTCTCCCCCCTAAACGTCTCCCCTTCACACGCACCTTCTCCCAACATGCGCCCCACAAACGTCTCCCCTCTAAACGTCTCCCTTTCACACGCAGCTTCTCCCAACCTGCGCCCCACAAACGTCTCCCCCCTAAACGTCTCCCCTTCACACGCACTTTCTCCCAACCTGGGCCCCACAAACGTTTCCCCCCTAAACGTCTCCCCTTCACACGCACCTTCTCCGAACGTGCGCGCCACAAACGTCTCCCCCCTAAACGACTCCCCTTCACACGCATCTTCTCCGAACCTGCGCGCCACAAACGTCTCCCCCCCAAACGTCTCCCCTTCACATGCACCTTCTACCAACGTGCGCCCCACAAACGTCTCCCCCCAAAACGTCTCCCCTTCACACGCACCTTCTCCGAACCTGCGCGCCACAAACGTCTCCCCCCTAAACGACTCCCCTTCACACGCACCTTCTCCGAACCTGCGCGCCACAAACGTCTCCCCCCTAAACGTCTCCCCTTCACACGCACCTTCTCCCAACCTGCGCCCCCCAAACGTCTCCCCCCTAAACGTCTCCCCTTTACACGAACCTTCTCCCAACCTGCGCCCCACGCACCTTCTCCGAACCTGCGCGCCAGAAACGTCTCCCCCCTAAACGTCTCCCCTTCACACGCACAATCTCCGAACCTGCGCCCCACAAATGTCTCCCCCCCTGAACGTCTCCCTTTCACACGCACCTTCTCCCAACCTGCGCCCCACAAACGTCTCCCTCCTAAACCTCTCCTCTTCACATGCACCTTCTCCCAACCTGCGCCCCAGAAACATATCTCCCCCTAAACGACTCCCCTTCACACGCACCTTCTCCGAACCTGCGCGCCAAAAACGTCTCCCCCCCAAACGTCTCCCCTTCACATGCACCTTCTCCCAAAGTGCGCCCCACAACCGTCTCCCCCCTAAACGTCTCCCCTTCACACGCACCGTCTCCCAACCTGCGCCCCTCAAACGTCTCCCCCCTAAACGTCTCCCCTTCACTCGCACCTTCTCCCAACCTGCGCCCCACAAACGTCTCCCCCCTAAACGTCTCCCCTTCACACGCACCTTCTCCCAACGTGCGCCCCACAAACGTCTCCCCCCTAAAAGTCTCCCCTTCACACGCACCTTCTCCCAACCTGCGCCCCACAAACGTCTCCCCCCTAAACGTCTCCCCTTCACACGCACCTTCTCCCAACCTGCGCCCCACAAACGTCTCCCCCCTAAACGTCTCCCCTTCACACGCACCTTCTCCAAACCTGCGCCCCACAAACGTCTTCCCCCTATACGTCTCCCCTTCATACGCACCTTCTCCCAATATTCGCCCCACAAACGTCTCCCCTTCACACGCACCTTCTCTCAACCCGCGCCCCACAAACGTCTCCCCCCTAAACGTCTCCCCTTCACACGCACTTTCTCCCAACCTGCGCCCCACAAACGTCTTCCCCGTAAACGTCTCCCCTTCACACGCCCCTTCTCCCAACCTGCGCTCCACAAACGTCTCCCTCATAAACGTCTCCCCTTCATACGCCCCTTCTCCCAACATGCGCCTTACAAACGTCTCCCCTTCACATGCACCTTCTCCCAACCTGCACCCCACAAACGTCTCCCCCCTAAACGTCTCCCCTTCACACGCTCCTTCTCCTAACCTGCGCCCCACAAACGTCTCCCCCCCTTAACGTCTCCCCTTCACACGCACCTTCTCCCAACCTGCGCCCCGCAAACGTCTCCCCCCTAAACGTCTCCCCTTCACACGCACCTTCTCCCAACATGCGCCCCCCAAACGTCTCCCCCCTAAACGTCTCCCCTTCACATGCACCTTCTCCCAACCTGCGCCCACCAAACGTCTCCCCCCTAAACGTCTCCCCTTCATAGGCACCTTCTCCCAACCTGCGCCCCACAAACGTCTCCCCCCTAAACGTCTCCCCTTCTCACGTACCTTCGCCCAACCTGCGCCCCACAAACGTCTCCCCCCTAAACGTCTCCCCTCCACACACACCTTCTCCCAACTTGCGCCCCACAAACGTCTCCCCTTCAAACGCACCTTCCCCCAACCTGCGCCCCACAAACGTCTCGCCCCTGAACGTCTCCCTTTCACACGCACCTTCTGCCAACCAACGCCCCACAAACGTCTCCCCCCTGAAAGTCTCCCCTTCACACGCACCTTCTCCCAACTTGCGCCCCACAAACGTCTCCCCTTCACACGCACCTTCTCCCAACCTGCACCCCACAAACGTCTCCCCCCCTAAACGTCTCCCCTTCACACGCACTTTCTCCCAACCTGCGCCCCACAAACGTCTTCCCCGTAAACGTCTCCCCTTCACACGCCCCTTCTCCCAACCTGCGCCCCACAAACGTCTCCCTCATAAACGTCTCCCCTTCATGCGCCCCTTCTCCCAACATGCGCCCCACAAACGTCTCCCCTTCACACGCACCTTCTCCCAACCTGCGCCCCACAAACGTCTCCCCCCTAAACGTCTCCCCTTCACACGCTCCTTCTCCTAACCTGCGCCCCACAAACGTCTCCCCCCCTAAACGTCTCCCCTTCACATGCACCTTCTCCCAACCTGCGCCCCACAAACGTCTCCCCTTCACACGCACCTTCTCCCAACCTCCGCCCTACAAACGTCTCCCCCCTAAACATCTCCCCTTCACACGCACCTTCTCCGAACCTGCGCCCCACAAACCTCTCCCCCCTAAACGTCTCCTCTTCCCACGCACCTTCTCCGAACCTGCGCCCCACAAACGTCTCCCCCCTAAACGTCTCCCCTTCACACGCACCTTCTCCGAACTTGCGCCCCACAAACGTCTCCCCCCTAAACGTCTCCCCTTCATACGCACCTTCTCCCAACCTGCGCCCTACAAACGTCTCCCCACTAAACGTCTCCCCTTCACACGCACCTTCTCCCAACCTGCGCCCCACAAACGTCTCCCCCCTAAATGTCTCCCCTTCACACGCACCTTCTCCCAACCTACGACCCCCAAACCTCTCCCCCTAAACGTCTCCCCTTCACACGCACCTTCTCTCAACCTGTGCCCCACAAACGTCTCCCCTCTAAACGTCTCCCCTTCACACGCACCTTCTCCCAACATGCGCCCCCCAAACGTCTCCCCCCTTAACCTCTCCCCTTCGCACGCACCTTCTCCCAACCTGCGCCCCACAAACGTCTCCAACCTAAACGTCTCCCCTTCACACGCACCTTCTCCCAACCTACGCCCCCCAAACGTCTCCCCCCTAAACGTCTCCCCTTCACACGCACCTTCTCCCAACCTGCGCCCCCCAAACGTCCCCCCCCTAAACGTCTCCCCTTCACACGAACCTTCTCCCAACCTGCGCCCCATGCACCTTCTTTGAACTTGCGCCCCACAAACGTCTTCCCCCCTAAACGTCTCCCCTTCATACGCACCTTTTCCCAACCTGCGCCCCACAAACGTCTCCCCCCTAAACGTCTCCCCTTCACACGCACCTTCTCCCAACGTGCGCCCCACAAACGTCTCCCCCCTAAAAGTCTCCCCTTCACACGCACCTTCTCCCAACCTGCGCCCCACAAACGTCTCCCCCCTAAACGTCTCCCCTTCACACGCACCTTCTCCCAACCTGCGCCCCACAAACGTCTCCCCCCTAAACGTCTCCCCTTCACACGCACCTTCTCCAAACCTGCGCCCCACAAACGTCTTCCCCCTATACGTCTCCCCTTCATACGCACCTTCTCCCAATATTCGCCCCACAAACGTCTCCCCTTCACACGCACCTTCTCTCAACCCGCGCCCCACAAACGTCTCCCCCCTAAACGTCTCCCCTTCACACGCACTTTCTCCCAACCTGCGCCCCACAAACGTCTTCCCCGTAAACGTCTCCCCTTCACACGCCCCTTCTCCCAACCTGCGCTCCACAAACGTCTCCCTCATAAACGTCTCCCCTTCATACGCCCCTTCTCCCAACATGCGCCTTACAAACGTCTCCCCTTCACATGCACCTTCTCCCAACCTGCGCCCCACAAACGTCTCCCCCCTAAACGTCTCCCCTTCACACGCTCCTTCTCCTAACCTGCGCCCCACAAACGTCTCCCCCCCTTAACGTCTCCCCTTCACACGCACCTTCTCCCAACCTGCGCCCCGCAAACGTCTCCCCCCTAAACGTCTCCCCTTCACACGCACCTTCTCCCAACATGCGCCCCCCAAACGTCTCCCCCCTAAACGTCTCCCCTTCACATGCACCTTCTCCCAACCTGCGCCCACCAAACGTCTCCCCCCTAAACGTCTCCCCTTCATAGGCACCTTCTCCCAACCTGCGCCCCACAAACGTCTCCCCCCTAAACGTCTCCCCTTCTCACGTACCTTCGCCCAACCTGCGCCCCACAAACGTCTCCCCCCTAAACGTCTCCCCTCCACACACACCTTCTCCCAACTTGCGCCCCACAAACGTCTCCCCTTCAAACGCACCTTCCCCCAACCTGCGCCCCACAAACGTCTCGCCCCTGAACGTCTCCCTTTCACACGCACCTTCTGCCAACCAACGCCCCACAAACGTCTCCCCCCTGAAAGTCTCCCCTTCACACGCACCTTCTCCCAACTTGCGCCCCACAAACGTCTCCCCTTCACACGCACCTTCTCCCAACCTGCACCCCACAAACGTCTCCCCCCCTAAACGTCTCCCCTTCACACGCACTTTCTCCCAACCTGCGCCCCACAAACGTCTTCCCCGTAAACGTCTCCCCTTCACACGCCCCTTCTCCCAACCTGCGCCCCACAAACGTCTCCCTCATAAACGTCTCCCCTTCATGCGCCCCTTCTCCCAACATGCGCCCCACAAACGTCTCCCCTTCACACGCACCTTCTCCCAACCTGCGCCCCACAAACGTCTCCCCCCTAAACGTCTCCCCTTCACACGCTCCTTCTCCTAACCTGCGCCCCACAAACGTCTCCCCCCCTAAACGTCTCCCCTTCACATGCACCTTCTCCCAACCTGCGCCCCGCAAACGTCTCCCCCCTAAACGTCTCCCCTTCACACACACCTTCTCCCAACATGCGCCCCGCCCCATTCTCCTGCATTCCATCACCCCGCCCCATTCTCCCTCTTTCCATCACTCCGCCCCATTCTCCCTCTTTCCATCACCCAGCCCCATTCTCCTGCTTTCCATCACCCCGCCCCATTCTCCCTCTTTCCATCACCCAGCCCCATTCTCCCGCTTTCCATCACCCCGCCCCATTCTCTCGCTTTCCATCGCCCCGCCCCATTCTCCCGCTTTCCATCGCCCCGCCCCATTCTCCCTCTTTCCATCGCCCCGCCCTATTTTCCCGCTTTCCATCTCCGCGCCCCATTCTCCCGCTTTCCATCACCCCGCCCCATTCTCCCGCTTTCCATCACCTCGCCCCATTCTCCCGCTTTCAATCACCCCGCCCCATTCTCCCGCTTTCCATCGCCCCGCCCCAATCTCCCGCTTTCCATCACCCCGCCCCATTCTCCCTCTTTCCATCACCCCGCCCCATTCTGCCTCTTCCCATCGCCTCGCCCCATTCTCCCTCTTTCCATCACCCCGCCCATTCTCCCGCTTTCCATCACCCCGCCTCATTCTCCCTCTTTCCATCGCCCCGCCCCATTCTCCCGCTTTCCTTCGCCCCGCCCCATTCTCCCTCTTTCCATCACCCAGCCCCATTCTCCCTCTTTCCATCACCCAGCCCCATTCTCCCTCTTTCCATCACCCCGCCCCTTTCTCCCTCTTTCCATCACCCCGCCCCATTCTCCCTCTTTCCATCACCCCGCCCAATTCTCCCTCTTTCCATCACCCCGCCCCATTCTCCCGATTTCCATCACCCCGCCCTATTCTCCCTCTTTCCATCGCCCCGCCCCATTCTCCCTCATTCCATCACCCCGCCCCATTCTCCCGCTTTCCATCACCCCGACCCATTCCCCCTCTTTCCATCGCCCCGCCCCATTCTCCCGCTTTCCATCACCCCGACCCATTCCCCCTCTTTCCATCGCCCCGCCCCATTCTCCCTCTTTCCATCACCCCGCCCCATTCTCCCGCTTTCCATCACCCCGCCCCATTCTCCCTATTTCCATCGCCCCCCCCCATTCTCCCTCTTTCCATCACCCCGCCCCAATCTCCCGCTTTCCATCACCCCGCCCCATTCTCCCTCTTTCCATCGCCCCGCCCCATTCTCCCTCTTTCCATCATCCAACCCCATTCTCCCTCTTTCCATCACCCAACCCCATTCTCCCTCTTTCCATCACCCCGCCCCATTCTCCCTCTTTCCATCACCCCGCCCCATTCTCCCTCTTTCCATCACCCCGCCCCATTCTCCCTCTTTCCATCACCCAGCCCCATTCTCCCGCTTTCCATCACCCCGCCCCATTCTCCCGCTTTCCATCGCCCCGCCCCATTCTCCTGCTTTCCATCGCCCCGCCCCATTCTCCCTCTTTCCATCACCCCGCCCCATTCTCCCGCTTTCCATCACCCCGCCCCATTCTCCCTCTTTCCATCACCCCGCCCCATTCTCCCTCTTTCTATCACCCCGCCCCATTCTCCCAATTTCCATCACCCCGCCCCATTCTCCCTCTATCCATCACCCCACCCCATTCTCCCTCTTTCCATCACCCAGCCCCATTCTCCCTCTTTCCATTACCCTGCCCCGTTCTCCCTCTTTCAACCACCCCGCCCCATTCTCCCTCTTTCCATCACCCCGCCCCATTCTCCTGCATTCCATCACCCCGCCCCATTCTCCCTCTTTCCATCACTCCGCCCCATTCTCCCTCTTTCCATCACCCAGCCCCATTCTCCTGCTTTCCATCACCCCGCCCCATTCTCCCTCTTTCCATCACCCAGCCCCATTCTCCCGCTTTCCATCACCCCGCCCCATTCTCCCGCTTTCCATCGCCCCGCCCCATTCTCCCGCTTTCCATCGCCCCGCCCCATTCTCCCTCTTTCCATCGCCCCGCCCTATATTCCCGCTTTCCATCTCCGCGCCCCATTCTCCCGCTTTCCATCACCCCGCCCCATTCTCCCGCTTTCCATCACCTCGCCCCATTCTCCCGCTTTCAATCACCCCGCCCCATTCTCCCGCTTTCCATCGCCCCGCCCCAATCTCCCGCTTTCCATCACCCTGCCCCATTCTCCCTCTTTCCATCACCCCGCCCCATTCTGCCTCTTCCCATCGCCTCGCCCCATTCTCCCTCTTTCCATCACCCCGCCCATTCTCCCGCTTTCCATCACCCCGCCTCATTCTCCCTCTTTCCATCGCCCCGCCCCATTCTCCCGCTTTCCTTCGCCCCGCCCCATTCTCCCTCTTTCCATCACCCAGCCCCATTCTCCCTCTTTCCATCACCCAGCCCCATTCTCCCTCTTTCCATCACCCCGCCCCTTTCTCCCTCTTTCCATCACCCCGCCCCATTCTCCCTCTTTCCATCACCCCGCCCAATTCTCCCTCTTTCCATCACCCCGCCCCATTCTCCCGATTTCCATCACCCCGCCCCATTCTCCCTCTTTCCATCGCCCCGCCCCATTCTCCCTCTTTCCATCACCCCGCCCCATTCTCCCGCTTTCCATCACCCCGACCCATTCCCCCTCTTTCCATCGCCCCGCCCCATTCTCCCTCTTTCCATCACCCAGCCCCATTCTCCCTCTTTCCATCACCCAACCCCATTCTCCCTCTTTCCATCACCCCGCCCCATTCTCCCTCTTTCCATCACCCCGCCCCATTCTCCCTCTTTCCATCACCCTGCCCCATTCTCCCTCTTTCCATCACCCCGCCCCGTTCTCTCGCTTTCCATCGCCCCGTCCCATTCTCCCTCTTTCCATTGCCCCGCCCAATTCTCCCGCTTTCCATCACCCCGCCCCATTCTCTATCTTTCCATCACCCCGCCCCGTTCTCCCTCCTTCCATTACCCCGCCCCGTTCTCCCGCTTTCCATCACCCCGCCCCATTCTCCTGCTTTCCATCACCCCGTCCCATTCTCCCTCTTTCCATCACCCAGCCCCATTCCCCTTCCTTCAAACACCCCGCCCCATTATCCCGATTTCCATCACCCAGCCCCATTCTCCCTCTTTCCATCACCCCGCCCCATTCTCCCTCTTCCCATCACCCAGCCCCATTCTCCCTCTTTCCATCACCCCGCCCCATTCTCCCTCTTTCCATCACCCAGCCCCATTCTCCCGCTTTCCATCACCCCGCCCCATTCTCCCGCTTTCCATCGCCCCGCCCCATTCTCCCGCTTTCCATCGCCCCGCCCCATTCTCCCTCTTTCCATCACCCAGCCCCATACTCCCACTTTCCATCACCCCGCCCCATTCTCCCTCTTTCCATCACCCCGCCCCATTCTCCCTCTTTCAATCACCCCGCCCCATTCTCCCAATTTCCATCACCCCGCCCCATTCTCCCTCTATCCAGCACCCCACCCCATTCTCCTTCTTTCCATCACCCAGCCCCATTCTCCCTCTTTCCATCACCCAGCCCCATTCTCCCTCTTTCCATCACCCAGCCCCATTCTCCCTCTTTCCATCACCCCGCCCCATTCTCCCTCTTTCCATCACCCCGCCCCATTCTCCCGCTTTCCATCACCCCGCCCCATTCTCCCTCTTTCCATCGCCGCCCCCCCCCATTCTCCCTCTTTCCATCACCCCGCCCCAATCTCCCGCTTTCCATCACCCCGCCCCATTCTCCCTCTTTCCATCGCCCCGCCCCATTCTCCCTCTTTCCATCACCCAACCCTATTCTCCCTCTTTCCATCACCCAACCCCATTCTCCCTCTTTCCATCACCCCGCCCCATTCTCCCTCTTTCCATCACCCCGCCCCATTCTCCCTCTTTCCATCACCCCGCCCCATTCTCCCTCTTTCCATCGCCCTGCCCCATTCTCCCGCTTTCCATCGCCCCGCCCCATTCTCCCGCTTTCCATCGCCCCGCCCCATTCTCCCTCTTTCCATCACCCCGCCCCATTCTCCCGCTTTCCATCACCCCGCCCCATTCTCCCTCTTTCCATCACCCCGCCCCATTCTCCCTCTTTCTATCACCCCGCCCCATTCTCCCAATTTCCATCATCCCGCCCCATTCTCCCTCTATCCATCACCCCGCCCCATTCTCCCTCTTTCCATCACCCAGCCCCATTCTCCCTCTTTCCATTACCCTGCCCCGTTCTCCCTCTTTCAATCACCCCGCCCCATTCTCCTTCTTTCCATCACCCCGCCCCATTCTCCTGCATTCCATCTCCCCGCCCCATTCTCCCGCTTTCCATCACCCCGCCCCATTCTCCCGCTTTCCATCACCCCTCCCCATTCTCCCACTTTCATTCACCCCGCCCCATTCTCCCGCTTTCCATCACCCCGCCCCATTCTCCCGCTTTCCATCGCCCCACCCCATTCTCCCGCTTTCCATCGCCCCGCCCCAATCTCCCGCTTTCCATCACCCCGCCCCATTCTCCCTCTTTCCATCACCCTGCCCCATTCTGCCTCTTCCCATCGCCCCGCCCCATTCTCCATCTTTCCATCACCCCGCCCCATTCTCCCTCTTTCCATCACCCCGCCCCATTCTCCCGCTTTCCATCACCCCGCCTCATTCTCCCTCTTTCCATCGCCCCGCCCCATTCTCCCACTTTCCATCGCCCCGCCCCATTCTCCCTCTTTCCATCACCCAGCCCCATTCTCCCTCTTTCTATCACCCAGCCCTTCCATCACCCAGCCCCATTCTCCCTCTTTCCATCACCCCGCCCCATTCTCCCTCTTTCCATCACCCCGCCCCATTCTCCCTCTTTCCATCACCCCGCCCCATTCTCCCTCTTTCCATCACCCAGCCCCATTCTCCCGCTTT